GCAAAAGAGCAACGTATTCCGGCAAATAGGAAATGTATTTTTTAATTCTTGGGAGGGTGTATTTATACCCATCTTCAAGGGTTATTTCATTGGCCTTGGGCCAAACCATGTTTAAATAGATTTTTTGGATTATAAGAAAACCGAAGAATTTTCAATAATTATAATTTTCGAATTTTTTTTTTAATTTGCGCGTCCTTTTCGTTTTCACCGTTTCAAAAATCATGTCTCCTAAACAGCAAAGGCAGTGTTTATGTTGAATGACGCCGTTCAGTAAATTGGCAAACAAAGCGGCATTTTTTAAACACATATTAAATATTCAAGATAATTTATAAGGTGTAAAAGTTTGCTTAGATTTACAAAATCCACTCGATCTCAAATGTCAATTTCAAAGCGCATATTTCGAATATAATTCACTGGATTTTTGAACTAATTTTGGAATTGACATTTGAGATTCAGTGAATTCAACAGTTTAAACGCGATCTAAGTGGCAATCATATGGCTCTGTTTTGGAGTCTGTCCATAGGTGAATGCTGGAGAGTGTCCACAGCCGAAGATGGATGCCCACAAATTTAAAACAAAATCAACCAGTATTGGAATTTGTCCATGGAAGAAACTTAAGAGGGCTTCAGGCTTGGCATGTGGAATCTGACTCTGTGTGTGTTTCCTTCTTAAGGCCTTAAGGTACGTTTAGATTTACGAAATCCACTCGATCTCAAATGTCAATTCGTCAAATATAATCCACGGGATTTGTGAACAGGGTTAACGTGACGTATACGCAGTGGAATTGACGATTGAAATTATATGGATTTAATAGTCTAAACGTAGCCTTAAAAAGAAGTTGTTATTTGGGGACTCCACCTACGCAATATATTGGGATTCATCGGCATGACGGCATGATTTAAGGGCCCCATACACTATAAATCATGCCGTCATGCCGATGAACCCCTTTTTGTATATGTGAGATTGACTAGTGTATGGCAAACTCTTCAATCACTATTCCAAAAAATCGATTTTTGTCCCAAAAATTGAATTTTGAGTCTTAAGTTCAGTTGTTTTTTATTCCGTCACAATTCTATTATTTTTGTACACAAAATTATTTACTGACAACTTTCAAAATGAATATTTTTTACCAGATTGTTAGGGTTTCATTTTCAAAATCAAAACTATTTTGATTTTCTTCATGCATTGTATGTGTCACATACTATGATAAATGCTGTACGGCATGATGTATAGTGTTGGGGCCCAACCATAACTGTCCCCAATGAATCTTATTGGGGGACTAGCCGAAAACCGTCTTACATATTCCTATTTTGTAGCGAGAATCGATCAGCTGATTGAAATTCTTCCATGTCCATGTATACTTCTAAACAAACCATTGTTATTACCGTTATTTATCACCTTCATTCGTAAACAATTTTTATCAGTCATTCTCTCCCGTCTCCCACTATTCGTAGCCGGACAAACGTTTTTAAATTAGGTCCGTTCATTCGGGTTATTGACACAACGCGCGGATTTGGTTTTGGAATTGGTAAGATTTAAGAGATTTAGATTTAAATATTTAATTGGAATAAATAAAATGTAATTTTATTCCATTCACTCAATGGTCCCTTCGATTTTTTCTGTTGTAGATCGATCAACATAACAATTATTTGAATTTTGGTAAGAACTACCGGCATAAGCTGCCTGCCGACGAAAAGCCGAAAAAATGTTCAAAAGGAGAGGAACACAAAGTCACAAAGATAGCAAGATAAATATAAACACCCGAAAACGACGGCAAACTGTGGACACCAGAATTCCGGATATTAAATGTTCGCCAATACCAAAAAAGAATCAATCAAAGAAAGAGGTGAATGGTGTAGAACCCCTACGTACACTTTCGAAAAGTTTAAAGAGTGGAAAAGGTAATGGAACTGCTGTTGTTACTGACATCGGAAAAGAAGTGGGCGATAAAAACTTGGGAACACCCGACTCCGTTTGTAATATAGATCTAACCAACATCAACCACAAAGAAACTACAATTCCAAAACCATCATCGAATTCGAATTCTAATTGGACTTCTAAGTTACAAAGAAGTTGTGAACAATTCCAGAAAATCAGTCATGATTATGAAATTCTCAAGTCCATGTTCGACGATATCATTATGGCCGAACAACAGAAGATGTTGAACACCATTGAAGAGGTTGATATACTACACAGATATTCCATATCTTTGGAAATGGAGGCGGCCTCAATGAAACGTAAACGTTGGTGTATTCAATGTCAAATGGAAGCCACATATCTCAGCACGAAAGGACATTATTTCCTGTGTTCGCAGAAATGTGAAGAACTGTACGAATTATCTTTGGAAAGATAGAATGTAACAGTCACATTGTATTATTAGTCTTTTTGGATAGTCTTCAAGTTCCTGAAGTTTCACTTGGTTAGAAAAATCAATATTTTGTTTTTTTTGTAATTGTTTTATTGTAAAAGAAATTGCGTTTGGTTTTGTCCTTCAACATATGTATATAGAGGGGTTATTTTACAGCAGTGCTGTACACGATCACCTTTATCAATATTATTTTTTTTTTTTCAAAATATTTCTCATTGTTATATTTATTAGTTACAATTTAAAAAAATTAGTCATTTTTTGTTTTCTTTAAAAAAATATTCAGGGAATTTAGTTTAATACACTTTACCATATATTTAATATTAACTTATCTTAATGAAGCTTCATCATTTACTATGTAGTAAATTTATGTAAATATTAGTATATAAACCAAATAATGAATTTTGTGGAAACTTAATTTCAATGCATTATTAGTAAATGTTTTCATTTTCATAGAAGAGCTGAAGGTCTTTCTCATAAAAGGGCGAAATGTTTTATTCCATGAAGAGTCTTCTACTAAGAGAATAAAATTGAACATGTAAAGGTATACTTGGGTACTATAGTCAACTATCTTTATAGCTAAGAAGAAGGTCCCTTCTTCATAGAAGAGCTGAAGGTCTTTCTCTCATAGAAGGGCTAAACAGTTGATTTAAAGAAGAGTCTTCTAATATTAGAATGAAATAAATTATTTAAAGGTCTACTGGAATAGAAGAGTAAAGTTAAAGCTGAAGGTCTTCTTCACAGAAGTTCTGAAGGTCTTCTTCTTCACAGAAGTTCTGAAGGTCTTCCTCTTCACAGAAGTGCTGAAGGTCTTCTTCTTCACAGAAGTGCTGAAGGTCTTCTTCTTCACAGAAGTGCTGCAGGTCTTATTTTTCACAGAAGTGCTGAAGGTCTTCTTCATAGAAGAGCTGAAGGTCTTATTCTTCATAGAAGAGCTGAAGGTCTTATTCTTCATAGAAGAGCTGAAGGTCTTCTTCTTCACAGAAGTGCTGAAGGTCTTCTTCTTCACAGAAGAGCTAAAGGTCTGCTTCTTCTTCATAGAAGAGCTGAAGTTCGTCTTCTTTACAGAATAGCTTATTTATAAAAAATAATAATAGCTTATTTATAACCCCAAATCCGTAATCTATTTTGGAAATTAGACGAAAATATACATGAGGGCTATATCTAAATCTGAACCGATTCTCAACAAAATACAATTATTCGAGAGCCAACTAATTTAAAGGAAACATGGCAAACGCCATTCTACAAAATTTCGTGTCAATCGGACAAACGTGGGGGTTTTCCGGTCACTTCGACGTAATATAAATAGGTATGAGTAATATCTAAATCTCAAATGATGAATTTACCATAGCAAAAATTGGAAGGCTGGGTTATAGCAATGGTCAGCTGGTAACTCTAAATGTAATATCGATGTCGACCATAAAGAGCATGAATCCACTTAATATTATGTTACCCATAAGAGAGGGTGGCGTAGGGGATGATAGATACCATGCAACGGTTCTGATTGACTTTAACATGGCGAAGTCCAGGCTTATCTTGGTCCCTCTTTCATCTCAATTGTGGACACTGACCTCCCTGTTGTGCCACCAGGGGTAGCTATTTTCATCACCCGATGAAATAGTGAGCTAATATGTGCCGCGAGTTCACCAATAAGAACTATAAAAAATGGGTTGAGGAGTCGGGTTAGTTGCCTACACTCGGAAAACCGAACCTACTTTGAAAAAGCAAAAAAGATTCCAATTACACTCTATTCGAAATTAATTTTAAATATTTTTTTTTTAATTTGTTAGGATTATCGTTTTGAAATTGACCATCTAAAGAGTACTGATGCTGATTGTGATAATTGACTAAACGTTGAATAATACCTGCAATTGTAACACAAAGGTTATGCCACATTCAAAGGCTATGCCACATTCAAAAATGTGTGTTTAAATACAACTATCATATATCCTTGAACCCCTATATTATAGGATATATATCCTTGAACCCATAATATCCAATGATAAACCCAGGAAATCGTTTGCTCAGGGAGATCGATGTGACCTGCGCCAACTGTCAAGTACCATAGATTTGAAATACATTACAAAAATCACCGATTTGATTACTGGTGAATGGTACTGCATATTTTGCTTTAGCTTAATGCAATACACGTACATTATTTATCCAACCCCTAATATCGGCAAAATAACTGTTATAATTTATATGCATTATAACAGTTATCTGCCAAAACAATGAACAGCTGTTCGCCTGTGTGTTGGTAAATGAATGAAAAATGTGGTAGTAGCCGCTTGCGGTTGAGGTAGGGGTTGCATTTTTGCTACCATCCATTCATAAATTTTAACCGATTTTTAGGGGTTGAAACCACCAAAACGTCATCCAATTGTCAGTCAGTTAGAAAACCTATTTCGATGAAAACGGATCTCAATTAACAAAGAAAGTGAAGCGAACAAAGGAAATCGAAAATAATAAAAAGAAAATACATAAAAAATTAAAAAAAAAAAATAATTTCAATTAAAAAAATGAGAAAAAGTGAATAATATTCTGTGAATTTAAGGAAGTCAAATTTAAAAATAATAACGAATGCAAGCAAAAATTGGCAAGTGAAAATATTGGGCGTTTTTAACTTGAAAAAAACCAAATATGGTTGGATTACTCAATCCCATTAAATATGGAGAAAATTTTTATGATTTATATACTTTGAATACAAGAAGGTAAGAAAATAACAATAATTTCTATAATATTTATTAAGAAATTGTTTAAAATTGAAAAGAAATCTGCAAATTTGTCTTGTGAAAAATTCAGTATACCAAAGTCTTGAAAAAATGTATATCTTGTGTTGACTCATAGCTTTTATTGATTTTCCAACAAAGGAAGGCAGTGGCCAGCGAAATGGGTCCTTTTTAAGGGAATAAGAACAGGAAATTGTTATATTTTGGAATGGGATTTAATTTTTTATTATAATTATTTAACAAATATAAATAGTTTACGTAATAATAATCTAAAGAATACAAATTATCGTGTATACCTAAAATACCAGGCTCATACACACACACACGCTTTAAATAAGCATATCCTTTTCGATAAAAAGGGGTGGTAATAGTCGGAATGGTGGTGGTGGTGTTTTGGCTCCCCCTCCCAATTTATCCTTTTTCAATCAGCTGTTTTATCAGCTGATTTTTGAAATGTTATCTGTTATACAAGATTTCTGTTATACATGTTATCTGTTCTAAAGGTTATCTGTTATACACGATTTGTGTTATACTCATTTTCTGTTATACTCCATTTCTGTTATACATTTGATCAGCTGTTTTTCATGTTTGCATTTGTGTTAGTATTGAGTTTTTATTCGGTTTGTCCGGCCCACCGAATACCAACAACCTTGAGTAATTGCAAATGCCGGCAGTGGTTCATTGACCCCCCAACCACATGTTAATGTAGGTCTGTTGGGTATTTGTTTGTAAACAATGTCACGTGTGCATTCCGGTTTGTTTGTAAACATTGAAATTAAACTCAAAAAAATTAGTCAGTCGGAATACAATTTTTTTAAGAAAAAATAAATAAATAGAAATATATGCGGATCTTTATATAATTTTTTAGACTATGCAATTTAATTCGGTTAATTAAATTTTTTTAAATGATTAGAATTTTTTTCTAACCTGCTCCATGTTTTATTATTCCCAACTGAATTGAATTATTTAATTTCAAAATATCCAATATAAGAATGTAAAATTTCAAGTGAAAATCAAAAAAGATATAGCCGATTTATTATGTCAGCATCAAGTGACGGCTGAAGGGCTTCTCACTTGAAACATTTTTTTGCGAATGGCGGGCATTAAAAAACAAAAATATGCAATTTTAGAGCGAAGTCAATAATCCTAGAAAAATATTCAAAAATTCCATTTACTTTTAGGAAATTACAAAATGATCGCAAACCCTTGGGTAAACGTAAGAATAAGGATAAAAAATCCCCTCTCGCCATATTGGATGGCAATCCAGATTTACGAGTTCTAAATCAATTGGATCAACCGTTAATTAAGGAACAACTTCTGCTGTGTCCAGCATTTCCCGTGGCTCATATTGAGCTGCAACCAAATGCCTCACAGTTTGCAGTATTTTCAGCCATCCGTTCCACGGTATTGGAAGCTGAAACCAGACGTCTATTATTTTATGAGCTGAGCGGTAATGCCAGACATTTACCAAATCTAAACTCATCATGTTGCTTGATTTGTGGATCTTGTCTGTTAAATAATCAATCTTCGGAATGCTCTTGCCAAGCTCTGCAACATGTTGCTGGTGGTGTCGGTGGGGCTGGAAATGGCGCTGTTGTGGCCCAGGTGGCAGTGGCCGGTGTTGCTGGCGGTAAACGTTCCCGTCAAGATTCAGCCAACAGTGATGTCGAATCCGAATCTGAGGAATGCATTGAAAAGGAACCTAAAATTGTCACAGTGCCCTTGATTGTGGGTGCTGGCTTGCGAAGCCTTTTCGAATTAATATCCGAGGCACGTCACATACAACCCACCTTTTGTTCGAAGGCATTGAAGGCTTTGTTGGACGTTATCCAAGGTCAACAGCCGGAATCATTTAAACATGAACCAGAGGAGTTAATTAATCCTTTGTATGATCTCTTATTGGATTTGGCCACAATGAGTTCTACGGAAAATGGTGGCAGTGAAGCTGATTGGTCGGCGGTGGCCTGTTCAGCTTTGATCGGGTTATGTATTGCTCGTGGCGATACAGGGAAAATGTTGAAAGCCATTGCGGCCTTGATCATGTCACCGCGGCATTTGTCATTGCAACGCATACAAATGCCGTCGGTATTGGGTATGCTGCAACGTACGGTCATCAGTGCGGCATTGGCCAAACCAACCTGTCCGGATTTTTATACCAAAGGGGTGCCTGTTAACTCGCTAATTGATGAGGTTTGTAATCAATAAAGTTTGTACAGAGAATGAAAATTTTATTTATTTCCCCATTTCTTTGCAGTTTACCATCAAAGCTCCCTTTGGCGGTTTCACTGAACCAGCTTTGGCTTCCGATGGCACATATTTGTATTTACTATTGGGAGGGGCGCTTTTGAAAATCGGCACTGGTTACAATGGTTCATACAAGGGCCATATCTACATGCAAAATGATGAGTTTACCAAAGAGAAAACCGGTTGGCTGGGTTATAGCAATGGCCAGCTGTATTATCGTCGTAACTCCAAGCGGAATGCCGATCATTTGCATTTGGTTAATACTGAATTGCTGACCATAAAGAGCATGAATCCAGTAAATATGTTACCCATAAGAGAGGGTTTCAATTACACCCTGTTTACTGATGAAGATTCCCTGAATGCCATATGTACCAATCGGGATGTAAGTGATGAGATTTCTTCGAAGATTTGTATGATTTTTTTATTTAAAAATCTGATTTTATTTTCTTAGGATTCCCTGGTGGTAAGACGCCTTAACATTGGCCATCAAAATCGTACTGCTGCTGATCGCGATAATAGCCTTCCCGTTGAATTACCCCTGCAATTGTCACGAAAACGTTTTCGCACCCTGGGCTATGCCACATTCGAGGAAGAAGTTCTCAACCAAAATCAAATTCTCAAAATACAGGCATCCTACAACATTTTCGAACCCAAAATACCCAACGATGTGGACTTGCAGGAAATCGTTTGCGGCAAGGAGTTCGGTTTGGTATGCGCCAACAACGGCAAGGTCTACTACTATGGCAAATCAAGTGCCTTAGGTTTGAAATCCGTGGGTCGTACACCTATTATGAAACTCACCGAATTGATTATTTCGAAAATATCACGTATTATTCATATTGCTGTGGGCCATGATGGTATCCATGCCCTGCTGGTGAATGATGATGGTACTGTATATTTTGCTGGCACCGCTCGTCGCGGTGAAGATGGCGATATCTCGAAAAATAGACGTCAACCCAAGGCTGTCAAACCGAAGAAGATGACAAAAATTGAGGGTCATGTTATTGTACAGGCGGCCTGTAATAATGGCACCTCGGCGTTTGTAACAAAGACTGGTAAATTGATAATGTTCGGAAAGGATACCGTCCATTGTGATGCTCAAGGTTTTGTAAGCGATTTTGCCGATCAACATATTCAGAAGGTGGCGCTGGGCAAAGCCCATTGTGTGGCCTTAAATGCCAAGGGTCAAGTGTTTACATTCGGCCTCAATAATAAGGGACAGTGCGGTCATGTTTATAACAAGTCCAAGGACAGCAATACGACAAGTGGTGGCAGTGGTAGTGATGGATCTGGAAGTTGCATGGCTGGCTCGGGTGGTGGCGGTGCAAAATCTCAAAATATGAAAAAATTGAAATTTGATTTTTCGAATTTATGTGACTACGATGATCACACTGTGGTCCAAGGCCAGTGTCGGGTGTGTGTTGTGTGTAAGGAATGTACGGGATTTTCCATTTCCTGTGTGTCCTCCTTGAATGTGCCGCTGGAAGAGAGGGTGGCTGGAGCGTAAGTTTTGCAAATAACCTAAATGTAATTATAAATAAAAAAATAAAACGCATTTTATTACAGGACCTGTGCTTGTGGTCATGGTGATGCTGGCTGCTCTAAATGTGGACTTTGTGCCTCTTGTATTGCCGTACAGGAATCCGAAAGTGGTAACATTTTCATATATAATCCTCTAGATGGTACATAATATATTTCTTCCTTTTAGTGTCAGATGCCAAGGATACAAATAAGCAATTGAATCGTCAACGTTCGAAGAGCCTGATAATGCGTCGCAAGGACAAAAAGTCATTGGATGATGCCAGTAGTCACACTGAAGAAAATCCTCCTCGAGTTGCTCCCCTGGCCCCACAACTTCTGCAAATGCCTTCAACATCTCCGGTCGTCCAGGTGTCTTGTGGTCTACATCACACAGTTGTTCTCACCCTCTCCGGTGAGGTGTATGCCTTTGGTAGCAATCAATTTGGTCAATTGGGTACGGGTGATATGCAGCCAGTTACTGGACCAGTACGCATAAATGTACCCGGCAATGTATGCCAAGTTGCTGCGGGTAGCAATCATACAGTGTTGTTAACCTATAAGGGTTTGGTCTACACATTTGGTAACTTCCAAAAGGGTCAATTGGGTAGATTACCACATGATTTCCAACAAAAGTCGGCGGGTAATTCGCGGGAAGGTGATAAATCGAATTTGGCTCAGACATATAGAGAATCGTTTGTCAATCACGAGGTATTAACCGATAAGCCAACTGTGGCCCAAATGATATCACAGAGGCAGAAGATTTTGTGGCATTGTACTCCGGGAGTGGTGTTGTAAGTTAGGCACACAGGTGAACTTATTTCATTTGTAATAATTTTCGTTTTATTTTTGTGTTCAGTGGCATTGGTCCCAGCTTTGGTAAAAAGGCAACATGGATTGGAGCAAGTGGTGACCAAACCTTTATAAAACTGGATGAATCGCTGATTACCACACAAATGCTACCAAAAATGAATGTGGCTGCCAATAAGAAAACCATTTGTAAGTTAAGACTTTACTGTCCCGGAACTATTTAAAACAGTTTTTTTGTTTATTTTTTCCAGTGATGATTCCCACCATACCCTTGACATTCAGTGCCATCTCAATAAATCGCCGTGATGGCAACTGTACCGCCCACTATCACAATCAAGTGGATTTTGCAAAAATGGAACATTCAAATAAACCCAAGCTTGTACCGGAGGTCAATCAAAATGTTGATCAAAATACTATGACACCAACATTGGGTGCACCGGCATCATCATCAGCTGGCAATGCAATAAACGAACAAATGTCCCGCAGCATGCATGAGGCCCGAAATCAAATGTTCGATTTACAGGATAATAATCATGTCCATCACAATGCCTCGGGTAGTCAACGTAAAGAACGTAATCGAGAATATGCAAAGGGTTGCCTCAAGAGTCCGTCGTCACCCAAAGCGGCAGCTTCATCATCCGCTGCTGCAATTAATGATAAAACATATTCGAAATTGGCATTTGCAATGGATCCAATGTATGACATATTGTGGGTCTACGATTGCAATCAAAAGAAGGTGCTGAGCTACAATGTCCTGGCCAGTGAGATACAACAATCGGGAATGGTAAGAGATTGTAGGGGTGTTTTGGAATCCGGGATTTTAATTGTGAATTTTCTTTGTTTACAGAACTCTTCGAATTACAGAGCTTTGTTAACACCCGAATTGTCATTGCCGAATAAATTTGATTCGAAAATATCTCGCTTGCATGCTTCGCTTAATCTATTGGCATGTTTGGATGTGCTGACCTCCGCCCAGGATGTTATGTGAGTTGAAATGAAGTTGCAATTTTTCTATAAAGAAAAATTGTTCTTCTAAAAAAAATAACCTTCCAGACATTCTGGTCTGGATAGGTCTTTATAATATACTCTTATGAAGGCCAATAAGTCTGTGTGTAGACCATATTAGACAAATTTTTTTTCTATAAAGAAAAATTGTTCTTTAAAATTTGGTCTCTAAAATACTACAGACAAATTGTTCTATAAAGAGACCACACGTTTTTAGAAAGACCAGTTGGTCTGTATAGGGCCTTCAAGTCTTTATAAACACCAAAATATTTAAAACTTGTTGTATTAATTTTATTTCTGTTCTCTTTCAGCCCCGCATGTTTTGAGGACATCTCACCAAAGGAGGATAACCAAAGCAAAGAATTAAAGGATAATCAGTACCAAGTCTGCAATCGTTTTGATAATTTTGGCGGTGGTTGGGGTTATTCCGGCCATAGTGTGGAGGCAATACGGTTCTCAGCCGATACCGATGTGATGATATGTAAGTTCCAACTTCCTTTTTACAATATGAAGAAGATAATAAATGGACAATGTTTTTGCAGATGGTTTTGGTATGTTTGGTGGACGTGGTGAATATTCATGCAAGCTGAAACTTTATGATATGGGTTGCGACGGCGGTGGTTACGAAAAGGAAGGCACTCTCATTAGTGAAACCAAGGAAATCCCCTTCGAATGTCCGGCACGCAGTAAATATCACATTCTGTTACCCAAACCTGTTAGTATAACAGCTGGTCGTTGGTATTTGGTATGGGCCCGTATAGCCGGTCCTTCTTCAGATTGCGGTTCATGTGGACAGGCAACAGTGACCACAGAAGATCAGGTTGTCTTCACTTTCAAATCATCGAAGAAAGCCAATAATGGCACTGATGTTAACTCTGGTCAAATACCCGCAATACTCTACCGTTTAATAACACAAGAGTCGAAACAACCTCCCGCTCCTGTAGATGTGGATCCAGTTAAAAGGGTGACAAAAGAATTTGCCAACAGTGTTACCAAGGAATGCTTCGAAAGTTTGGTATTAATGTTAAATTGGTCATGGGAGGCATTCAAGGGTTATCTGAGAGAACAACGTGATATGTCACATCAGTTGCAGGTCAAACAATCCCTGGAATATTTAATACATGTAAATAAGTCATGTTTGCGCCTGCTGAGGAAGTATACCAATGAAATATATCCACAATATGGAACATCAGATGAAATGGCCGAATATATTGCAACAGCTTCTAATACACATAAATCGAGAACGGATAAGGAGGTTACGAAGTTCACCAAGCCCTCGAGTGGTTTGCTTACGAAATATTTTAATGATAATACCAGTGGTGGAAATGGCATGTCCGGTTCCCAACAATCGCCTATGAAAAAATCCAACATGGAAAATCTCCAATTGGCAGAATGTATTGGCAATGTTCGGGCCATGCTTATTGGCATATTCTGTGATGACATTTTCCAGGATATTAGCAGTGATGAGGCTTTAGCCATGGCCCTGGAAATATTGGATGAATGTCACATAAGTTTTGTGGCTTGTTTTGGGGTATTCTATCCCACATCGACATTGAAATGGAATTGTTTGTGTGATTTATTATCGGAAATGGATAAGGTAGGAATGGTTGACCCGTACGAACTTGAAGGAAATATCTAAACTTCTATTATTTCTATTTCACAGCAAGGAACCTTACATTCACGCCTGCTGAGTGCCATTTTGGCTGGCCTCTGCTCACCCACGGTTAAATTGCGATCAACATTCGCATTGCTGAATCATGGTAATGAACGTCATTCGATTGTAAGTCCTAGTGATAATTCTGGGCTGCCAATGCTCTCATCAACGGATTCACATCAATATCCAATACTGGTGGAACAAATGATTTATCGTACACAACAAGAGAAACGCGATTTCCTTAGTAATTCATGGACATTTAAGGATGTGCTAATGCGTTTGCTGGATATTATAGCAAATCCTATACGAGATCGTTTGGAAAATATCTACAATAGAGGTGTACACTATACATATTCGAGTAGCAGTTATTGTGGCAAGGATTTCAATCAAGGACTTATCGATAATTGTTGTCATTTGTTGGCACGCGTTTTGGCCGAAATCGTGTATCAAACAGCGATTGGTGATGTGAGTATATGATGGAGATACATATTTATTTGTATTTATTAGAAAATGAAGGAACAAGTTGTGTCGTTTCTTTTAATTATAAAATACAAGAGCTTTATTGAATCAAATAGGACGCTTAGAAACTTTGAGAGAGACTAAAAGTTAGAATACAGAAAAATGAGTTACAAAAAGGAATAGAATTGGAGTAGTTCTCAATTTTTCTACCTAAACTAAAGTATGTCATCTTTTTTTATAATATACAAATTTAAATTCTTATATTTTATACAATGCTGTTTATTACTAAATATTGAATATGTGATATTAATACACTTACTTTAGTAGTTAGCCACTTGCCAAACATTGAAATTTATTATTATTTTTAGAATAATACCTTCTAAGATATCATTAAGAAATCTTGTTAAATGGAGTAGTATAGTTTGCAATTTAAATGAAATCGGCCTTAATGGCTTCAAATTGCATTTTTGGAATAAATAAATAAATAGGATTCCTAATAGGCTAGGATTCCTAATATTTAATTTTCTTTATTTTATAATATAACGAAGTTTGAGTGTCTTTAAAAAAACACTCAGACTTCGATGTAAAAAATCCTATTACATTTAAAAAGGCTCTATATTTACTGCAATTTCCGCTAATATTCTTCTCTCTCCCTCCAAATTATAGTATGACAAAATGTTTGTACCACCACGCACCTTACACTCCTCGGGCTCTCGATTTGCTCGCTGCGATCAAAGTCGTACATGGAATACGGGTAGTTTTGGTCCTGACGCCATTGCCTTCTCCGTCGATCGTAGTGGTATTGCAATAGCCGGTTGTATGGTTTATACCGGATCCGGCAGCTATGAATATCAATTGGAATTGTTGTGCGATACATCGGGTGAGATACAACAGCAACAACCGTTACAGCAGCAACAACACAAATGGGAAACATTAGAATCGGTTTCGGGTACCTATGATCAAAGTGTGGTACAAAATGATATGGCGGAGGTGAAATTTGAAAGATCCGTGTTGATAAAGGTAGGTTTAATATTCAAAAATATTTTGAAATTTATTTATTAACTTGCGAGTTTCTTTTTTTAGGAAAATACCCGTTACGCATTGAGGTTTTGTTCTCAAGGTCATCGTACTTGTTCCGGAGATGGTGGCTTGCCATCGGTACGAGGTCCCTGCGGCACAACATTCCAATTATATGCCTGTGATTTAAGTTTCAATGGCACCAACGCTCATCGTGGTCAAATACCCTGTATCCTTTATTATAGTACACCCATAAAATCCGAATCTAGTGGAGGGGGAGCTTTTGGTTCGGGTTGTGCAGCGGGAGGTGCTTCCAATGATGTCTCATTGTCCAATGAGACCACAATGCGTGACACGGCTCTACAAATTGCTTCCGATATAACCAAAAAATGTTCGGAGCTTTTGGTTCTGGCACGCAATACTCTGGCTGCGTCGTTGTCACCGTCGGATAACTCGTCGAATCATTCGCAGACCATTGATTCGGAACATAATATTACTCCAATTGAAGAACATATGGACATAAATTGGGCCAACAACTCCAGGACATCACACTTGCCTGCCGAGGCAGGGGGCTTATCGGCCGCTCGCGATTTATCCAAACGATTAGAGTCATTCTCAAAGGGTATCATCGAAACTTTGAAGTTTGAAAAACGTTCAACCAATCCCTTTGAAATGGAAATTGAAATTGGTGCTACAGAAATACATCCCAAGGATTTGATGATTGAAGAGACGGCGGCCATACATGATTTGAATTTCCGTAATGGTCAGATCACAAAATTCAATGGCAACGAAAGGGTTGGTGCTGAGGCTGTGGAAAATTTAATGGGCGTTTCGGGACAATTTAATCCGGTGGCAATGGCTCGTGCTGATTCTGAGGAAACGCCGGGGCAAATGGCGGCATCACATATCTTGGATGTTTTTAATTTGGGCTCATCGAATTTGTTCCACACCCTGCTGCCACTTGTGTATGCCCACATTGCCAATTTGGCTTGTAATGATGCCAAGGTGGGAGAGATTTTAAAATGTTTTTGATCGTTCTAAAAATATTATTTTTTTTCTTTTTCAGAGTTCCGTACAAATCTTGGGTTTGATAAAGGAAATTCTACCCCATATTGCTGCCCTCAATCAATTGAGTTCCACTCACAAAGAAACAACGGGAATACACCACAACCATTCCTCCTCACTGCCACGTTTGCGGCCCACCTTCGAATTATTCCACAAGAAATTCGATATGGCCAATGAGGCTTGCAGTAATGCTTTGGTGACGGCCTCAACATCCAATCAAGCCACTCATGATCACAGTCCCACAAATGATATACCCACCACGAGCAATCATTATTGTGTCGTGGAAAGTGAACATCCCTATAGAAGTGCTTCCATAAATTGCTATCGTGTTGAATTTCCATCATGTGTCCAATGGCTAACCATCGAATTTGATCCTCAGTGTGGTACAGCCCAAATGGAAGATTATCTTTTGGTATCGGTACCAATGCGACCATTGGCCACTGCGGAAATGTGTCAGGCCAATGAAGATTATTATGATGCATTGGATAATAATATAAAATCGAATCGTACTGCGGGTAATAATGGTGGACAGTGTAAAAATGCCACACTCTTAACTTCATGTTATAAAACACCCATGCAAAAGTTGGAAGCAATGGAGGCTAAAAATGAACCCGATTGGTTTGTGGTGAAAAAGTTTAATACGTAAGTAAAATAAATTAAGTTTATTTGTATTTTAGTAATTAATAAATTTATATTTTATTTGTACAGATCCTCTAACTGGCTACAAAATGTCATGATTCTGCCCGGCAATTGTGTGGAGTTTTCATTGGAAACATCTTCATTGTATGTCCAAGATCCAAGAGTAAATCGTTACGGTTTTAAATGTTTGGTGGTGGGTTATGATAATCCAGTTTTGGTAAGTTTGATAGGCGCTCTTTAGGAAATTGTTTTGAATGTGGGTTTGAATTTTTGTTTTTTTTATTTTCAGTTAACCAATAACAGTTCTTGCCTGGTACGCATTGAACAGGAATTATCGTATTTGGGTGGCATGTGCAGCGGTAATTTAATGAAGAAAAATTTAAGTTTGCCGGGTAAGTTTATTAGCATATTATGTCCTCCAAAAAAAAAAGAAGAAGTGTATACTAAACATTCTTAGCATCTAAACATTCATGATTAGAATACAATTGTCGATTTAGACAGCTTCGTCTCTGGCAATCTCGTTATAAATCTTAATATTTAAGGTAGAACTTTGATGTTTGATATCTAATTTGAAATTTTAGGTTCTCATTCAGTGATAAAAATAAACTTTTGTCAGGGAGTTTTAGGAAGAATATCAGAAAGATACTCGATGTTTTCTTGAAAGATTTTTTTTTGTAACATATATCAAAGTACGGAATAACTTCAAATTTTTTAAAGATTTTACAACCATGCAAAAAGTAAAAAAATATCAGAACGATATGCTTGGATTTGTATAGAATTATTTTAGAAGAGGCGTGGATTTAATTAGAAAATGAAGGAAACACGTTGTGTCGTTTCTTTTAATTATAAAATACAAGAGCTTAATTCAATCAAACAGCACGCTTAGAAACTTCGAGAAAGACTAAAAGTTAGAATACAGAAAAATGAGATACAAAAGAGAAATAAGAATAGGTCATGTTGCCATATTCAATACATAGTGTTGCCAAGTAATTTGTAATTGTAATAAAACAATGCAAAAACAATCCAACAGATTTTTAAGCAAAGATTTATTTGGAGTAATAACAGCAGGATAGGCTTGTATATTTAAAGATTTATTTTAGAGAAATATCAGATGGATAAGCTTAAATTTTTTAAAGATTTTTTTAGAGAAATAACAAAAGGATAGGCTTGGAGATTTTGAAGATTTGGTTTTGGAGGAATATCGGAAACTAGGTGGTGCTTCTTTGTTGAATATTAAAGGAGTACTATTCGTTTTTTTTATCGTTTTAAAAGCTATGGTCATAGAATTTTTTGAGTGTAGTAGAATGTTTTGGATAACACCTATTATTTCATGTATTCACAAAGAGTTGTATTTTACACGAGGAATATCAGAACAATATAAAAATTCGTTAGAACAATATACAAATTCTTACTGAGTAAATGTTACTGGGAAAGTAAACGAATCCCAATAACATTTACTCAGTAAGAATTTGCAGAGAATAAAATACGAATTTTTCGTTCTCAAGAGAGAAAATTGCAAAAAGTAAACGAACAACATCCAGTAAAAAGGTTGTATCGACACAGCTGATTAAAACAACAAACAATTTGGCGCAAAGAAAAAAGCAACATTTTTTATTAGAAAAATGGATAAAAAGCGGAAAATTGATGTTTAATGTGTAATGATACAAAATTAATATAAAATTCATAAAACAATAAATTTGCTTGAGAGCAATTTTGTTGTTTGTTTACAAAACATAACAAAACAGCTGATTAAATATCAGCTGATGGTACAAGAAAATTCTTACTGAGTAAATTTTTCCTTGTAAGAATTTGCAAAGATGTATTTATTTACAAATATTTTCGCGAGATTTTCCTCCCGAAAAATTCTGTCTGTTTTACAAATATCCCTTATAATCCTAAACAGTCTAAATACAACATTTAATTTAAAAATCTCTCTATTTTTTTTAGATGACAAGGATGTTGAAGATCTCTCAACAATAAGTGAAACGATCAGTACTCACTTTGCATTACTATCAAAAGGTTTAGCCTTGGCGGAGCCGGACTTAACAATACATCAAGCATTGGAATCATATTTGCCAATTGGGTAAGTTCAAAATTACATATTTTAAATATTAATACAAATTAGAAAATTATAACATTTTGGTATTATGAAGGGAGAATTTTAATTATTTTTTATTTAAAAATTAAATAATTTTGTACTGAATTAAAAAAAAAAAAAAATAAGAATTTAGATAAATTATATTTATCAGTGCATCGATATTTAGAGAAAATTGAATATGAATAATGGAATAAGCTTGAATTCAAAAAATATTAGGGTGCTAACGTTTTGAAAAAAAGATGGACAGTCGTAAACATTTAAAAATATTTTTGTAAAGATATTTAAAGAATCAGAGCTATTGGCGCTGATTTTTAAAGAAATGTTGAAGGAATTATAACATGATCAATTCTGTCGATCTTTAACCAAACTATTTGCTATCACCGATTTTTAAAATATTGAAAGCAAATGGCCTTATATACTCTATATATTTATCGGCAATTGTGATTTCTGTCAACTTCCCCAATAATGACAAGGGAATCGATTAGTTTGACTTTGATAACTAATCGAGGAATGAAGAAAGCGGGGAAATTTATAGAGCTAGAATTTTCCGAGTTAAAAATTAAAATTCTGAAATTAATTAAATCATAAGAAATTATAAAATGTCGAAGGAAGGACTCTGCATAAATTTATATGGATAAGGCGGGGAAATTAAAAGATCTTAAATTTTAAAAGTTAAAAATCTGATTTTAATTAAATTATAAAGAATTTGAAAATTTCGAAGGAAACACTCTGCATAAGTTAAAATGGATATTAAAGTGTTTTTTGTGGCTTTTTATGATAGTCAAGGACCTTCAAATATTTTTGTAAGGATTTTAGAGTCTTAGGGGAAAATTTATTGGGATTTTTTAAAGCAGATACGTTGAATTTTAAAGAAATTCCTAATTTTTAAAGAATTTATAAATAAGTATAAAAACGGTACCGGAGATTTTTTGTTAAATAAATATCAGTGGAATATTAAAAAGAAATTATCGTGAATGAATTATCTTGATTGTTTTAATGCTTCGATTTTTTTTTATCATGACAATGAAATGACAACAAGTTTATATTTCATATGTTTATATATTTACAATTACTATTATTTGTTATTTAAATATTTATATTCCATATATAAATAGCTAACTATATTTCTATATAAAAGATATACACACATATTAATCTTAATGACTACTAACAAAATTAAAATTTACATTTGGTTTCATATGAAAAACTTAGAAAAAATATTAAATATTTCAAAAATGTTTAAAGTTTTTGGTGGAATTTCGGTGTTCTAGCGTCTTTGATTATATAACAAAACAACAGCAACAAATTTGTGTTATTGGTATTTGTGGTCCCATTTTTTTTCTCTTTTTAAAAGTCAGTCTTAAGAAGTCCAGCATTTTCAATTTGATAGACAATTTGTGTTTCCTTATATGTCCTTGGTTCCGGTTGTATGATATCCATTTTTCGTTTTGCCTTGCGTTTCTTTGCCGCCAGCCAACAAGCAATAACAATAATTAAGGCAATTAGCACTACAAATACAACCACACCAATAATTATATAAAGAACATAGGAGTGTTTGACACAATCGCTGGCTATAATTTCATTTAATGGTTTATAGCCTGAAACTCCCCGGTTATCATGGGCTGCAGCATTGCCATCCTGTCGAAAATATACATTGTGTTGATGTAGATTATAGAATTCGGATGTTGGTCTCAGTGGCTGGGTATTATCATCGACAGAGGAACACGGATATGGATTATTAACGGTCAGTTGTTTTAGATTGAGGGTAAAATCACGACTAAATTCTAATGGTCGGACATTGTCGTAGGGGAAATAAATGGTATTGTTGCTAAAACGCAACTCTAATTTTTCACTGCTGCCATAATCGCGATGTACTTTTATACCTGTAAAATAAAAAAATAGAAACAAAATCAATTTGGATATGATAATAGTGCAAAATTAAAGATTTACTTTAGAGCCATATCTGATTTTTCAAAGATTTATTTTAGAGAGAAATCAGATGTATAGGCGTGCATTTTGAAAGATTTAATTTAGAGCCATATCATAGGGATAGACGTAGATTTCATACGATTTATTTTAGATCAATATCAGAAGGATAGGCGTGGATTTCTTACAGATTTATGTTAGAGCCATATCAGATGGATGGTGTGGATTTTTTAAAGATTTATTTTAGAACCATATCAGATAAATAGGCGTGGATTTCTTAAAGCTTATTTTATTTTACAGCCATATCATAAGGATCAGAAGGAAAGGAGTGAATTTTTTTAAAGCCATATAAGAATTATAGCAATGGTTTATTTTGGAGCCATATCGGACGGATAGGATGGATTTTTTAAGTTTTATTTTGAGAGCCATATCAGAAGTGTAGAGCCATGTCAGAAGGAAAGGAGTGAATTTTTTTAAAGCCATATAAGAATGATGGCAATGATTTATTTTGGAGCCATATTGGACGGATAGGATGGATTTTTTAAGTTTTATTTTGAGAGCCATATCAGAAGTGTAGGCGTGTATTTTTTAAAGATTTATTTTAGAGCCATATCAGATGGATAGGCGTGGATTTTTTATGATTTATTTTTATTTTATTTTATTTTTATTTATTTAAGATTCATATATAATACTAAGCCTTCAGTGGCCAATTTAGTGTATCTCATGACAATTTAAACCTGAGTTATATTATACAAATAAAAAACTATGTAACTATATTAATTTTTAAAATTAAATTAAATTTAACATAAGTTCAAAGTTCATGGCTCCCAAGCCAATAAAAAAGAAAACAAAATGGAAAAATAAGAAAGAAAACAGTCCAATGAGTGGTAGCACAATCCGACTGGTTAATATAAACATAAAAAAGTATATAAAATATGCTATTCCATTAATTCTTGAAAATACTCCATCATTTTCAGACGAAAGGCATTATTGCTATGAGAAAAAATACGCAGTTCTAATGGCAAAAAATTCCAAAAACGCGCAACTCTTACCAAGAATGACCTAGAATATATATTTTTCCAAATTCTAGGAATATAAATCTGAGGATTCCTTGTTGAATGTGAAAACTGAAATAAACGTCTAAAGGCGCAAGGTATACCATTCTTAATGAGATTATAAAAAATCAAAATGCAACGATAGTTTATGTACATTTCAAAAGAACATCCCAGGAAACGAATAACATAGGCAGAAGTATGATCATCTCGGCGAAGATTGTATACAAAACGTATAATAGTATTCACAATACGCTTCAATTTATCAATATTAACACCGATTGTACCCGAATAGACCTCCAGTCCGTACAAAACCTGAGATAGTAAAAGAGAATTAGCTAGCATTAATTTTATTCGGTGAGGAAGGTATAAATTTGACCCATAGATCCTGCGTAACATGCTCCATACTTTGCCGAACAAAGCATCAATGTGACTTCTAAACGAAAGATCACAGTCAATAATTACACCAAGACACTTATGCTGCTGTACAAAATCTATTCGAATTTGGTTCATGAAAATGTTAAAAGAAGGCAAAACACGATTATTATTACAAAATGATATTGCCTTAGTCTTGGATGGGTTAACCATTAGTGAATTTATATTAGCCCAATCAACAAAACGATTTAAGTTTGCGTTTATATTACCTTCAAGTATATCCAAGTCAGCACGCCTACCACTAAAAAGTAGATATATGTCATCTGCAAAAACAAATGTTGAGCAATAAGGAGTGTTTGTATAGGAAGGAAGGTCATTTATATATAAAATAAACAATAGTGGGCCAAGGACAGATCCCTGTGGTACCCCGGAGAACAAATTCAGAATACTGGATTCAGCACCATTTAACACGACAAATTGACTCCTTTTGCATAAATAGGAAAAAATTAATTTGCACGCAGATCTTGAAAAGTTAAATTGATCTCTTAACTTGCTTACAAGGCGTATGTAATCAAGAGAATTGAAGGCTTTAGACAAATCTAAGGATACCATAATACTAATCCCGCCATCATTAATAGTTTTACGAATCGAGTCAGTTAGTTGAAGCAGCAAGTGAGTAGTATTATGTCCATGGCGAAAAGCATATTGGCATTCATTTATTCGATTAACACAAGACGTAAGCATTTGCTTTTTAATAATATGTTCCATTATTTTTGATAATGCCGATAAAATTGAAATTGGTCTCAAGTCATCCGGACCACGTACAGTGCGAGATTTGGGAATGGGCACCACACGAGCAGTCTTCCACGCAGATGGGAAAACAGAAGAAGTTAATATAGTGTTGAAAAGATTTAAAATTATATCAGAGATACAAGGAAATATAAGTTTGATAAAATATATAGGTATGCCATCGATTCCAACAGATTTAGATTTCACTTTACCCATTGCCTCTATTAGCTCTTCTTCATCTACACAACGAAATGAAAATGACGAATCCAAATCAGGGAATTCATCAACATTAAAAAACACGTCAGTATTGGTATTACAAGTATTCACAAAGTACTCGTTAATATCATTAACATCAATATTGATAGTATCATTATCATTCCCTACACATCCAGAACTTCTAAGAACATTCCAGAGCCTATTTGGGTCCATATTGCCAAAAACCCTAGCGAAATGAAGTCTCCTCTTTTTGCGTATTAAAGATTTCGCCTTATTTCTATATTTGCAATAGATTTGCCAACTTATTTGAGATTGGTCTCTTTGGAATGCCAAGAAAGCCAAATCCCTTAATGATCTTGCAAATCTGACTTCACTAGAATCCATCCAAGGCTCACCAGTGTACTTCAGTTTTTTCCTAACAATAGGAACAAACGTAAAAAGACGATTAAGAAGAGAACAAACAAGTGAGCATTTTGTATCAACATCAGCATTTCCTATTATTAAATCCTTGTCAAAGGTATCAAGAAAGGAATATAAACCAATCCAATCAATGTTGCTGTAATCTCGGAACTCTATAAAATCAGGTAAAGGGTTATAATTTAATGAGAGTGATGCAAATATAAGTGCATGGTCAGAAATCGGTGGGCACTGAACCTGATTTGTATAACTTACGAGACTACAGTCACTGACAAGCATGAAATCAATGAGAGATGTAGAACGATTGCTTAGATCAAAATGTGTAGGTTTAGAATTATGAATAATGCATAGATTTAATCTAGTACAAAGTGACCGAAACATATTTGCCCTCGAAGGATTAAATAAATTGCAATTAAAATCACCAACCAACAAAATATTACTATATTGAGCAAAAAGTTCTGAATGAGCATGTTCGAATATATCTATATTACCCGAAGGCAAATATACAACACCAAAAAGAATTTTGATACTTGAAAATTGTAGCTCAATAAAGAGAGATTCACAATGATGAACGGATATTTTAAAAACGCATTTATATCGAAGTCCCCTGGAAACATATATGCAAATACCACCACCTCTACTGGGTATTTGACGGTCATTGCGGCAAATATTGAAACTTGGAATAGAAAGAGCAGAATTCAAAATATCAGAAGAAAGCCACGTTTCTGAAATAGCAAGAATGTCAAAAGTATTGTCCTTTAAAATAGATTTTATTTCATCCAATTTAGTACTAGGTTTAATGCTCCTACAATTTAGGTGAGCAATGTTCAAATTGTTACTATATGGATGTAACAGTAGCTTGAGATGGGAGTTACCACTCACTATAGGACCAAGATTATTATCAAAAGACATTGATTGCATAACAAGCACAGGGTGGGAGCCAAGAAAAGAAATATAAATGCGATATATATGCACAAAAAATTAAATTCATTTAATCAAAAAATCACTTTAACACAGCGTTTCGCAAATTAGAGATATAAAATGAGGTCGAATAAAAAATATCAACTTATGCAAATTATATTGCGAATAAAAAATTAGAACCAGGATACAACAAGAAAATACCTCACAGAGGTCAATATGAAAAATTTGAACTATACGCATAGAGTTGTATCTTGATTTCACATTAATAAGCAATTAAAGACAATGGGAAAAAATAAATGTGTATGGTAAGATTATATATGGCCAGGAAGTAGTAGAGAACAACCAGCAGCATCACGTTCAACGATTTTACCATCAGGCAGTACAATTTTAGCTTTAGCTTTATCTCCATTGATGATTCTGTACTTTGAAATCAGGTTGAGTCGACGAAGCTTGTTACAAACGGCATTCAAATTACTAGCTTCAGGGGAAAAGTGGTCATTTAAGTACACCCTTCTCGTAACATCACCCCCAGAACCAGACAGGATATCAGAAACCTTCAATGACCGACTCTTAAAATATTGACGCATGATTTCATCTCTAAGTTCTGCACAATTAAGCTTCACCAAAATGTGCTTCTTATTATTAATGTAACAGGCCAATGCAACATCACGACGTACTAGTTCCACATTGAAAAAAGCAGCAACAGAAATGACAATTGCGACCAAATCGTTCAAACCATCAGGCAGACCACTAATCAAAAAATCTGCACGATTTAATCTGCGATGCAAAGCATTATTTTCCGCTTTTAGAGCTTTATTTTCATTTTCAATGGCAGCAACGGATTCTTCAACAGCAGTAACTTTTTCATGACACTTTAAAATATCAGCCTTTAAATCAGTGAGGCAGGACGTTAACTGTGCATTCATGTTGTCAATGGCAGCTTTAATAGAATTTAATTCTTCCTGATGGGTTGCAGTGAAAGAATCCAGTTTCTTAGAGAGGTTTTGTAAGTCATCAGCGGTTCCACAATGGCTATTACTTAAGTTGGTTACACAAGCAGTACAAATAAAGGCACTGACTCTAATTGATTTAAGTGCAGCTAGGTCTTTTTCACTCAAGTTAGCACAAGATCCATGCAACCATTTGTCGCAAACTCTACATTTCACGGATCCCTGGGTCTTTGTCACTGGTTCATTACAAGAGCCACACAATATTTGTTTCTTCGTAGTAGGCATATTGTTTATGTTAATAACAACAACAGCAGTTGAGAAAATGACAGGAACAAACAGCAACAACAATAAGGCGCTTCCAGTCAAAAAATGGAAAAATGGCAAGAAAGCAAAATATGGTAATTGCGTAACACGGGATGAAATTATGTTTTCAATCACTGTATATAGAATTGCATTTAATTTTATTTCACACTTCCGTAAAAAAAAAACTTCTCCGCAAAAACACTTCGATCTTTACAAAAGCCAACAGTTGATATTTAAGGAAAAAACAATTTTGCGATCAGCTGCAAACTAAACACACGTCTACTCAGGCATAGGGTTGCCAACGTTTTTTAGAGCCATATCAGATGGATAGGCGTGGATTTTTTTATAATTTATTTTAGAGCCATATTAGATGGATAGGCGGGGATTTTTTAAAGTTTTATTTTAGAGCCATATCAGATGGATAGGCGAGGATTTTTTAAGATTTATTTTAGAGCCAAATCAGATGGATAGGCGTGGATTTTTAAAGATTTATTTTGGAGCCATATCAGATGGATAGGCGTGGATTTCTTAACTATTTATTTTAGAGTCCTATCAGATGGATAGACGTTGATTTCTTAACTATTTATTTTAGAGCCACATCGGACGGATAGGTGTGGATTTCTTAAAGATTTATTTTAGAGCCATATCAGATGGATAGACGTTGATTTTTAAAGGGTTTATTTTACAGCCATATAAGAAGGACAGACGTGGATTTTTTAAAGATTTATTTTAGGTGCATATCAAAGGATAGGCGAGGATTTTTTAAAGATTTATTTTAGAGCCATATCAGATGGATAGGCGTGGATTTCTTAACTATTTATTTTAGAGTCCTATCAGATGGATAGACGTTGATTTTTAACAGATTTATTTTAGAGCCACATCAGATGGATAGGTGTGGATTTTGAGAGATTTATTTTAAGGCCACATCAGATGGATAGGCGTGGATTTTTTAAAGATTTATTTTAAAGCCATATCAGATGGATAGGCGTGGATTTCTTAAATATTTGTTTTAAAGCCATATCAGATGGATAGCCCTGAATTTTTTAAAGATTTATTTTAGAGCCATATCGGAAGATAAGGTTGGATTTTTTAAGATTTATTTTAGAGAGCCATTAGAGAGCCATTAGAGAGCCATAGAGCCATATCATGAATAATTATTTTCATGAACCCTTTACCAATGGTTGATCTTGACCTTACCTGCAAAAGCTATTACACTCGTGTTGCCAAATTGATTATCTCGTATTTGTGGACTTTTCTTAACATAGGCTTCCAGCCATTCACCATCAATTGCTTCAAAATAATTATTTGCTATGGTTAGCTTTGAGATCACTAGAAGTACACATATACATAAATTTAATTGAATAAATATTTAAATATAATAAATATTTACTTACTTTTAAATGAAAAAGCTTTTGTGTGGACTTTTTTAAATCTACATTTGGATAAATATAACGAATCGCTAACTTCTATGTCGTAGAATGTTTTTGATGGCACATTCTGCAGAAATTCACAATTTTGTATATCGATTTTTTCTACAACTAGTTTTTTAAAAGCCTGCAAACAAAGAATATTTAAATATTTATTAACTCTTTATTATTATTTTGTTTTTGGAATTGACTTACCTGTGGCTCAATTCTGTTGATTGTCACCCTATCCATGGTTAGGCGTAGGGCATTATTTTTTAAAATATTAAACGCAAAGGGTCTTATAGACTCTATATAGCTATCGACAATTGTGATTTCTTCAATTTGTCCATTAATGGCAAGGGAATCGATTAATTTGACTTTGACCTGTAAAAGGAAGAAAATAAAAGACTTTAGTGAATGCATAGGGGTTTGAAAGTTAAAACAAATAAAAATAATTAATTCAAAAGAAAATTAAAAATAGAAATACTTCAAAGGAACTATTTTGCCAAAGGAATCATCGGTACTAGGTCCGACTCTTTGTCCTTTTCTTCAATCCGTAGTAAACCGAAAATGATTGAACCTCTTTTGTAACGAATTTCAACAACTTTAAAGAGGGTTCTTCTTGGTACTATTACTCAAATCGGCTTGGGTATAATTTTTCCTTTTCAAATACCAAAAAGGAGCCCAGATGGTGTCTATTGTTTGGCATTTCGAATCCCTCTTAATCATATTAGATGATCTGTTAATTTAATTTCACGAAGCGATTTAGATCCTCACCTTTTCAAAGGACAATATTAATGGCGTGCTGCTGCTATAGTCCGGCAATGACAATGCATATTGGCTAAGTATTAAATTTTCCACATTTTTAAATGTGATTTTATGCAAGTGCTGGGTATCCTGTAAGGCATTCGATTCAATGGTCAGCGATTTGCAATTACGAATCTCCAATTGATATGCCGAGCCAATTAAATGGGGTAGCACCAGATCCTGGAAAAATAAATTAAATTAATTATTTTAATTTCGAAGAATTATGAAATTTCGAAAACAAAAAACACTTACCTCATCCACCATGGCACAATCACAGATAAATTGCACCTCATATGAGATACAGCTAACATTGTGACGTCCGCCGGTGGTTGTGACACTGTCATGAGGCGACCATATTTGAGCATTTACCAAACTGGATGTTGAAACTAGGAGCGCATAAATTAGCCATAAACTTTGGTTTAGAATATTTCCTTTCCAATTTCGTTTCACTGTTGACATTTTGTTTGAATTTTGTCGTCGTTGTTGTTTTTGTGTGTTTATGTGGGTGTGATTTTTTACATTTTATTCAAAACTTTGGACACAATGCACCGATTTTAATTCTAAAAAGAGAGCAAAAATAGAATTTAATAAATTGGTTTTGTTTATTATTATGGTTTTAATTACAAAACAAGATACATTTTTAAAAAATTAATTCAATTAAAATTATTTGTTTCTTTGTAATGAATATGAAAACTCTACCGTCTTTCGTAGTGGCAACTGTCGTTAAAAAGCGAATGTTTCTCTCTCACAACAAATTCTTTGTGAATGACAAAAAAATTGTCCGTCTGTCTGTCTGCCAGAATTTTGTAATTGTATCGTAGCGATGTATGTGTATGTATACATTTAGCAGATGTTTATTTATCTTATCGCTTTGATATCGTTTTTTTTTCATTTTTTCAATACCCTTCACCCCACCTAACTACCTTGTTAAAATAAACAGAAGATAAGGAATTCAAACCCATTGCGTAGATAGCTTCCACTTTAGTCATCATGGAAATAGAAATAAAAATAAGGAACACCACCTATTCCAAAAGGCGATGACAAATTTTTGTTTCAGAGTAAAAAGATTTTAGAAACTGTCTTGCAAAATCAATGTGAACTTAGGCAACAATAGTAATATCTCGGTCATCAACTCTGGATACCTTATTCCATATAAGATCAATGGTTTCGTTGCTCGTAGTGCTATATTTAACATTTTTCTGGGAATACTTTTTAAAGCACCAGTAATCCTGTAAAATACCGGGTTCAAATCCCAACTGAGGAGGAGGAACCACAAAACCCAAACCACAGCACAAATTTCAAGGAGACGTAGTTTCTAGACAACGGTAGGTGGCAGCACTTAGGGACAGTAGGGACCTTTATATGGGGACATTTATATGCTAGATAATCTCGTTGGAAAACTGGGTTAGAAATTCAAAGTACCGAATTAGTTATTGTAGGAGGATATAAAAAAATGGAAAGCATTTTTTTATTCACCAGTAATCCTGCCAAATTCCACTTTTCTCAATGTGATGAAATACATTCGAAGCCCGCATTGATATTCTAATAATCGACGTCGGCATCAACACATGAGGATAACACAAAAATATAAATTGTAGATAATAGCGACACCTAGAGGAAAAATGATAACAACAAAAAAGTCGGAATCCAAACTACTGCGCAAAATGAAAGGGAACGTAGTTTCTAGACAGGTATAGATGGCGGCTCTTAAATCCGTTGGGACCTTTATATGCCAGAAAAACTGGGCTATGAATTCAAAGTATCGAAATTAAGCATACATATTGTAAGGAGGTTATAAAAATGGAAAACATTTTTTTATTTATCAATAATTCTGCCAAATTCCGGGTTCGAATCGCCCTTTTCACAAAATGGTTTTCGAGTTATTGTAAAAATGAGACTTTTATCTCTCTCCTATGTGTCCCGACATTCTAATAACCAACCTCGGCATCAACGTCACTACATTAGGATAACACACAAATAGGAATGGCATAAGATAGCGCCACCCGGAGGAATAATGACCAGAATAAATGAGCAAGGACCCCTACCACTGCGCAAAATTAAAAAAAAGTTGCTTGTGGACAACGGTAGGTGGCAGCACTTTAATCAATATGCACCTTTATATAAGGAAACTTGGCTAGCAATTCAAAGCACCGACATTAAGCGTAGTTATTGTATGGAGGATATTAAAAATGGACCATTTCTGAACATTTCCTGGGAAGAATTTTTTATTCACCAGTATTCCTGCCAAATTCGAACTTTTTTCAAAGTGATTTTCTTTGCATCCCAAGCATCTCCACATAAGACAAAATAGGAATGGTAGGAAATATCACCACCGAGAGGAAAAAGAATAATACAATGTCTCTAGGAAGCTCTAGATGTCAGCTCCAGCACATAGAACAGGTTACAACAGACCAAGCATCTGCTTAGCCGGAACAAAAACCAATGACTCTTTAATAATAGAAGTGCTTTGTGGAAGTCTTATTCTCGCAAGAGAGGTAACAGGAGAAACATTACATATGTTTTGGGGTTCTTGAAGGTTGAACAACTTTCATTTTCTATATGGGTACACGTTTTGACATTGCCCCCATATTTACAATTCCGATATTATAAAGGTTTTAGAGGCATTTTCCCACCGAATTGGTTGTAATTCGGAATTCAGGAGCTCTGGTGAATAACAACTTTATTGCCAGAATTTGGACACATTTTAAACCAAAGTGCCTGTAATTTTATATTTTGATTTCATATTGAGTAGAAAATCTCCATACAATTGGTCCACTTTCAATATTTTGAAAAGTTTGGGGCGTTTTTCAAAAAAAAAAAAAAAAAAAATTGGATTTAATTTTGTATTTTCGATCCGCATTGGGTAGAAAATCTACATACCAAATATTATCAACATTGACTCAAATTTCAAGATAGAGCCAATATAATGGTATCCCTATTATTTCTACTTTTTTTTTGATTTTGGGTACGCTTTTCAATATAATTGTCTCTAATTTAATATCATGTGTTCTCATTGGGTTGAAAATCTCCATAACCTTCTATATAGCTGTATCTCGCAAATTATAGAGTTTGGGTTTGGGATTTTCAACCAAATATTTAGTAAATTTGTATTTTGGATTCTCATTGGGTAGAAAATCTATACTCAAGCATGAGGGGGTTGGACCCATATTACAGTAACCGCTATTATTTGGTATTTCAGAGATATTGGGCACGTTTCTCAGCTAAATTGACTATAAATTGTCATTTTGGGACCTTATTGGTTGTCAAAAATTCCTAACAAAAATTTATCATGGTATAGCCCCAGCATAAAAGTTTCAATCGGTTTCAGATATTTTTATACCCTCAGCTTTATGGTTAGTGAGGGTATATACACTTTGATACGGTGAAAATATGCCTCAACGAAACATTGGCTTTAGACCCCATGTTTTTTTAGACCAAATCCGTTTCAGAAATATGGAGTCGATTTTGACAAGTTCGTCCGTCCGTGCGTTGTCCGTCCGTCTGTCTGGCTTGTGCGCACGATAACTCTCGAAGGGAATAATGGATTTCATCCAAACTTTGCACATCTTAATATTTCTTCCAAACTCAGTTTAGGTTCGAAGATGGGTAATATCGTACCATTCCTTTTGGTGCCTCCCCCACAAAATGGAGAAAATTGTGTTAAAAAATATTTTTAAAAATAAATGCAAACGGACTCTCCGATTTTAACGTAACTTTGCACAACCTATTATCTTTGTCAAACCTAGATCAAGTAGGAAGATGGGACCCATTGATCACCTCCTTCTGGTACCTCCCCCACAAAGGGCCAACATTTTCAATATTTATAAATCCAATATCAGGCGAATGGAATGTCCGATTTGAACCAAACTTTGCATAACCTATTATCGTTACCAAGTCTAGATGGGACCCATTGGACCACTCCTTGTGGTATCTACCACACAGATGATCAACATCCTCCGCCAACCATAGGGTGAGGGTATATATCTGTCGGGTGAGGGTATATATCTGTCGGCAACACCGACTGATACTTTTTTACTTGTTTATGTCCATTTCATTTATATCGGTAGAACTCATTTTTTTTACTTAACAAAAAAGTTTTTTGAATATAAAAATTTACAGTTTATTTCTAGATCTGATTCGATTTTGGAACCAAATACTTTATAAATCAATTACTGTTGAATAAACTGATCAACATTTTGAAGTGTTATTTTTTTGCCATATCGTTGGTATAGACACTGTACCATAGTTTAAATTTTGAATTTTTGCTGAATTGTACATATTTGTTGGATCTGGAAATTCAAAAAAAAAAAAAAAAACATAAAAAATGTGACTGTTCTTAAATTACATTTCTTCTTTTAATTTTCAATATCTCAGCTATAAATAAAATTCGTCATTTTGTTTATTTTGCATTTTTTGCGTTTGCGTCCAACAATCGTAATACTTGACGTCAACAACAACAAAAACAGATAGGAAATAATGGAAAATCAGCGAAACTATAATTGAATATTTATTTTGCCGCCCTGGTGATAATTGATTTAGATTTTGGTGTAATGTTTATGTCATGCCACCCCGCTATTGAGTCACCCGCCCGTGTTTACCTTTAAAAAAATGAAATCAAACTTCAATGACACTTTTATTTGATCAATTAAATGTTTTTGTTGGTGTTGTTAGTTTTGGACGCATGAATGGCTGACTGGCGGGCTAGCCGTCTGGATGTTTGAATAGATTGTAGGAAGTTTCATCTTCAGACATCTTTATGCGCCGCATGGATGACTGGATGGTTGACTGTGGTGCCACTGCCATGATGGGTGTTGATGACAGAGAGTAAACAGAGAAAAAATGTCTCGACACTGCAAAGTCAGTAGTTAAAGGTCAAGTTTGTTTGGTCATTCAGATGAACGACAACAAAAGCAACAAAAATGATTTTACCGAACAAAAATTGTTGTTTATTTATTTTTACAAAATATTTATTTAATTTACATAATGCATTTATGTATGTAAACACAAACACAGTCACACACACACACACACATGTATGAGCTATGACCACCTCATAGCATACATGTTAATGGCTATGACAAACACTTTAGTAATAAGCATTCCGCCCCTTAAATGGCGGTGACAGTGATAGCCAGCCACCAAGTAAGTCACTTGCAAATTGTCATTTTGAGATACTCATATTCATACTCAAATATTCAAATTCAATTGCGAATTGCAAAAAAGTCAAGTTTTTTTATGAGCTTTGTTTGGGTTTTATTTTATTTTTTATTTTTCCAGTCATCTCATTATAATTTTTTCTTCGCTTCGGGTTTTCTAATATTTTTGCTTTGTGTGTGACACTTTGACAGTTGAATGTGTTACTTTTTTAATTGCTTACATAAATGGTATTACAAAAATATATATTTTTTCTATTAAATATGGAAAATGCCTACCTTTAGTTGAGGGGAGAATAATTTCTAATAGAAAATTAATAATTTTAAATAACTATTAAATAACCAACAATTATCAACATTGGTTTATTTTTTTGGTATCGGTACCTCTTACATTTCGCTATTTCAGACACGTTTTCCAACAAAACTGAACCCATATTTTACCTAATATCAAAATTTGGGTAGTATTACCTTGATATGGGAGCTACCATAAGAAGTGAACCTATATTTTTAATTTTACTTAGGATTATGTAGAATTTTCCAAAACACCGAATATTGGCATACCATAACGTGGAACGATTAGTAGCAATGCATGCGCTAAACTTCAAAGCTCTATCTTAAATATTGTAAATTGTATCGTGATTTTAATCGACGGACATGAAGTTTTCTGCAAAGGTATTGTTCAACATGAAATTTTCTACAAAGATGTTGTAATTTTTTCTATTTTTACTCCTCTTGGGAGGACTTCGTTAGAGTAACGACATATAATTCGATTAGTCCTTGTGTTAGCTTTAAACGTTTCACCAAGTGCTGCCACCTATCGTTGTGTAGAAACAACGCCTCCCAGAAAATTGTCCAGTGGGTGTGGTCCTTGCTTATTTAGTGTATTCATTTATCCTCTGGGTGACGCTATCTCTCACTATTCCAATTTTTGTGTTATCCTTCTGTATTGATATTAATGTTAAGATGGGTTATTTGAATACGAGGGACATCTCTTTAAACAAAATATTCACAAACCACATTGAAGGGATTTTTTCCTTCTCCTCAGGGATTCGGAGTTGAAGTGAAAAAAAAATTATATATTTTCCTTTTCATAGAACCAAAAAATTATCTAGTGCTTCCACCTATTGTTGCTTTCGAAATAACAATTCTTTGAATAGTATGTTGTAATTGAGGTCCTTGCTTATTTATTGTTGCTATTTTCCTCTGGGTGGCGGTAACTTTCTCACTCCTATTTTTGTATTATCCTCTTGTGTTGATTTTGATGCCGATTTTACATATCAGAATGTTAGGAACCATTTTTACTAATATTCGAAAATTACTATGGAGAAATGTGTTCTCCTTAGCTGAGACTCGATCCGAAGACTTGCTGAAGTGATCGTAATTTGACAGAATTACTGGTGAATAAATAATTTCTTCTTAGAAAAAATCCACATAGGTCTATTTTTAAATTGTCCCACGGCTAGTTTTAGGTACGTTGAAGTTCCTAGTTCTGTCGTTGTCCACAAATAACCTCTTCTTTAATTTGTGAAGTGATTGGGATCCTAGCTTTTTGTGTTAATGTTATTATAAGCATTCTTATCCCGAGACCATAGGTTTACAGTCTGGTACATTATCGAGCGCCTAATCTACCTACATACTATATTAAAATTTGAAATGTAGATGGCGCGCACATAACAGGCTAAAATAAACTCACGATTAAATTTATGACAATTTTTTTATTTTTTTGAATTTCGAATACATTAAATATTTTCTATTGTATTCAACCCAAAATTATGCACGATTGAGATTTAAACGGCATATGATTAATACGATTGATGTACAGATGGCGCTCCTTATAATAGATTCATGTAGGTTTCTTAAATCGTAAATTTTTCTTTATTATTGGAATTATTTACAAGTTATTGTACTTTAAAGTTAATATTGAAGCAGATGTGAGAGAATGGTAGAGTAATTCTATGAGCGAATCCTTTTCTTATTTTGAGGTTTTATACAAAAGTTCGGAATTAAGAATGGCGACGTTGGTATTATGTAGTTTATTTTCACAAGATGTGACATTTTTCGTTGAAAATCGACAATCGATTTCTCGTAGAATTAGTCGTAAAAATTCAAAAATCCACACGTCGAATATACATTTTTAGTCGCTTTATAGCCTAGACAGACGACAGCCTTAATTTGCATTAACAGCCTTAATTCAAATTAACTTGTACATTATCCTCATTTTTATGTGTTGTTAATGCACATAATCAAACTGAATTTATACTGAATTAGGCAATTTCAATATGGCAATGCTGTCGAAAATTAATTGTTTCTTGTCAAATTTATTTATATTTATGAAAATAAAAATAAGAAATGAAGGCAAATTTCAATAATTTTTTGAATTGGGAGCTGCTTTCCTAAGATCATAGTTGCTATTCCTTCTTTATGTCATGTATCTATTTCCTAAAGATGTAATCCCGAAAAATATCGAAACAAATGTAAAAAATTTCATACTACACACAGACAAACAATTGTTTTGAAGCAAAAAACTGTTTCGTAAATGCAGAAACTCTCGTCTGTCAGGGGTAAATATTAATTCAAATTAAGAGCTTTTTAATGCAAATTAAGGCTGTCGTCTGTCTATGGTATTAGATTTCTATGAATTTCAAGTAGAAGCAAGACTTTCAATACACTCCTTCCTGAGAAAAATTGTTTAAATTTGCATGTTAACTTGTAGGTATATAATTACAAATTACAATAGACTAATAAAGAAAACACTGGTTTAAATTTAATTGCACAGCGAACTGTAATCCACTTCGTGCAAAAAAATAATAATACATTAAAAAAACCGCATCTCTACAAAACTATAATTCATGACCACCCCTCCAGATCACAGTTTAAAATATTATCAAGTTTTGGCACGTACTCAATGAGAATTATAACAGATTCGCAATTTACAAAAAGGCAGATACGATAATTTGTTATGGCAAATATGTACATACATATATACGAATATGTGTATGCTTCTTATTCTCTACATACATAAATTTTACAGTCATATAAATATCATTTATTGAAAAAAAGAAGGAAAAAAAACAGCAACAACAATTAGCATGTGAATATTAATTTGTACTGCGATTTTTGTTGTTGTTGCTGCCTTTGCAATTATCTTTTCGTTTTCGCCTTGATATGGGAAATGGATGAAGAAGTCAGAAGAAGAAGAAGCAGCAGCAGAAGATGAAATATTAATTAACTTTAAAATTACGTTGTTAAGAATTAAATTATGAGTTTTTGTTTTTGGGTTTTGTCTGCTGCTGCTGTTGCTGTGATGTTGTCCTCCTCAATTATATAAATGATCGGTGGCAGGCAGAAGCTGACATCTAGAGGGACGGTCAGTCGGACGGCCGCACGGTCAAATGAAATTGAGTATCTGCATAAAAAACGCACTGGGTACAGTATTTGATGCTTAAGTGCAACGATAAACAATACAGGGAGAGATAAAAAACTGCAACAAAGTCAAACGCCGTAATTTTTACATTTTTTTTAATTTTATTGAATGAAAGCAAAAAATACCGGAAATAGCATCAAATTTTAAAATAAGTTTAGATTTGTTCGAATTGGTAACATTTGGCACGAGTTATGGCTGCCCGAATGTAGCTTTGCGGTATTTTGGTCCATTCTCGGCGAAGCGCTTGCTTGAGGTCATCGACACTTTGGTATTTTGAAGTGCCAACCTTGCTTTTCTGATGCCACGTTCGATTTGTTTGTTTACAAACTGCTGGGCAACGAGTGTTTTCTCAATGGAGAAAACCAAGTTCGGCAGTTCACCTCTTTCGGCCAAGCGTAGCAACTCCTTAGCTCTTTTGAGTCTATTTTCTTTCTATTGCGGTTTAAGGTCTTGCACTTTTAGGAATGTCTATGCCTGAATAGGGGGGCTCTGTTAAAACGTGAACCGATATTGATAATTGTTGGTAGGAAGATTTGTCAGCCAATGCGAGTTCAGCATACCAAATTAAAGCAAATTCAGTTCTGAATCCCTAGAATACCTAATAATGGGAGGTACGGTTATATGAGGGCTACCCTGAATCTTAGGCCAATATTGATAATTATTGATACGGAGATTTTCTATACAATGAGAATCCAAAAATAAATTAAAATTAAATTTCAAAGAAGAAATAACCGGTTTTCTAAACATTTGAATCGGATACTTAGATAATAAAACCGATTAAATTCTGGTTTAATAAACTTTTTGAATGTGTTTGTTTATTAGCTTTCTAATGATATGTACGGAATGTATTAAAACCGGTTTTATTATCAGAATATCCGATACAAAAACATGGAAACCCGGTTCTATTTTTGATACGGAGATTTTCTACACAATGAGAATGCAAAATATAAATTAAAATTAAATTTCGAAGAAAAAAATAACCGGGTTTCTAAACTTTTGAACCGAATATTTAGATAATAAACCGATTAAGGTCCGGTTTAATACATTTATTTAAAACGTTTGTTTATTAGCTTTCTAATGATATGTACGGAATGTATTAAAACCGGTTTTATTATCACAATATCCGATTGAAACCCGGTTCTATTTTTGAACCGGATATTTAAATAATAAAACCGATAAAAATCCGGTTTAATAAATTTATTTAATGCGTTTGTTTATTAGCTTCTAATGATATGTATGGAATGTATTAAAACCGGTTTTATTATCAGAATATCCGATTCAAAAACTTGGAAAACTGGTTCAATTTTTGATACGGAGATTTTCTACACAATGAGAATGCAAAATATAAATTTCAAAGAATAAAGAACCGGATTTCAAAACTGTTGAACCGGATATTTAGATAATAAACCGATTAAAATCCGTTTTAATAAATTTATTTAACGTGTTTGTTTATTAGTTTTCTAATGATATGTAAATATATGTAAATTCGCACTTCCATATACTTATCTATGCATTCATTAACTTCCATATAAAACAAATTTTTATCACATTGCCATTAGTCGGTAACTACTGTACCGGACGATATTTGACATTCACTGTATGTAGATTTTTTTGCTCGTAATTTTTTATTCTATTTCTTTTTTTGCATTCTTTATTAATTTTTTTTTAAGTTAATTATATTTATTTTAATATGATTACGGTATCATAGAGACATGAAATGGAGGTGGTAGTACTCTCCCGTTTACTTCAATTCATGGCTTAAAAAGAGAGAGGGAGAGGCAGGCGAGCGAACGAACGTGAGAGTGGGGGGCATTTTGCACAAAAACAAATCGATTACGTAGTGCAAAACTAATAAACGAGGCGACAAATATTCTCGGCTAACACGACGGCGGTTTTGACAATTTGCAAAATGTAAAACAACAACAACAACAAGGTATTAATTAGCAAGTAGTTTGCATAGAGCCTGCTAATACACCATCAATTTACTTGCGGAACAAAAAAAAAAAAACACACACACACACACAAATTAAACGTAAAAAATATTGTTTTTGTATTTTGTGTACAAAACAAATCAAAATAAAACACAAAAAATGGCAAACAAATGAGCACATAAACGTATGGCAAAAAAAGACAAGCGCAAAAACCAACAACACAAAATTCACACACCATCGTTTAGGCACAATTTGCCTGCCCACCACCACCCCCTCATTTATCAACCAAATAAAAAACATACCATCGCAAAAATACCCTATCCCATGTTCCAAGTGACCATTGGCTGGTATTCACATTAGAGGACAAACACACCGACACACAGAAACACTGCCCGACACCGACGTAATATTAGAAAGAATCTCAAGATAAGTACCGAAACCGAATGGACAAAACAATAGTTAAGTGTTCTTGGAAAAACGCTTTTCGTTTGTAAAAGAAAACGCGTTAGCCGCTAAAGTTAACAACGTTTTGTTGTTTTTTTTTATTACCACTAACGCGCCGTTGTGGCTTTTTGTTGCTTTCCGTTAATGTTTTTTTCTTCACCGCGTTTCTGACTTCGTTTTTTTGGGGAGACTATTCACTGCGTTCTATGGTCTCAAACGTCTAAATCTACACTGATCAGTTGTTTTTGTTTCAGTGATGCTCTTTGCCATGGCATTCGTCGGTTTCCCATTCAGTTTGGGGGTCTAGTGTTGTTGTTGTTGCCAGTATCTGATAAGAGCCAACGGTTCTCTTTTACAATAAAAAAATGTATCGCAAAGTTTGCAAAGCTCTGTTAGATTGAGGGAAAAGTGAAATACAGTTGAGATTGCTCTTGGGGGGAGGTTCGCTCTCCTAACTAACTGTGGAGACTTGTAGTCGCGCCAATGTGTGTGAGAGTAATTTGTTACTGTTGTTGTTATTCCATTAGCGCCGTGATTTAAATGTGTTAACTGACCTTTTTTGCATATGTTATAGGGTTGCCAAAGTATTATTTTTTATAGAATAGGAATTTTGTGAAGAACCTTCAAATGTGTTCTGCATACAGAAGACCTTGGGTAGGACCTTCTAAAATATTTTAATAAAAATTTTTGACGTTTGTATTTATAAAACAACCAACCAAATGATCTTTTCAATATAGAGAAGAGGGTAATTTTGTGTACAGTACTAATTTGTGTATACAGTCCAAATTATTTAAATCGCATCGGATTCAAACTGTACGAATCCTGCCAACAGAATTGTTTTTAATTCTTGTAAAAATTAATATAGAGAAGAATTTAAAATGTTTCATAGGGTTAATTGGTAAACGCTGTAGAACACGTCAATCGATCAAATACGTTTCAAGCAATTAGGAGTCGTTTTGAAAATGTTCGTCTTTCGGTATGTCTGCCTGGTGTGCATAATAACTCTCCAAACTCTCTCCAAATATTGTAAATCGAAATATTTCTTCCAAATATGGATCAGTTTCAATGATACATACCATCGGCACACCCTCCGGCAACTTTCTTACAAAATGATAATTTTTTTTTGGAAAATAAGAACAGAGTAATCGATTTTATCCAAATTTTAAAAAGCCTAATTTGTTACATCCTCCGCCATACGGTTGAGTATATATAAAATTTGTTGTATATTTTTGGTCAGAATAAAATTCTATGTCGATTTACGCAAGGGCATCTGTTGAAATGACGATATAGCTGTGAAATTTTGCACTGGTATTGCTGGAACTCCTAGTATGATTGGTATTGCAAATGGGAAATTTCATCGTTTTAATGTAACTCCCATATTACGGTACCCAATTTTAGGTATTTTGAATATTTGGACACGTTTTTCAACCGAATCAGCTGTAATTTAGTATTTATTATAATTACCCCAAGCTTAAGGGTAGTCCCATGTAACGATACCCTAATATTCGGTATTTTGGGAGTATTGGACACGTTTTTCAACCGAATTTTCCTATGTTTCGGGATAGCCCCCAATATTTAGTATTGTTGGCATTTTGGACACGTTTTTGTATTCTCATTGCCTGTCAAATCTCACTACCCAAAATTATGAATATCGATCCCCGTTTTGGAATAGCCCTATATAACGGTAACCTCAATATTAGGTATTTTGAGAATTTTAATCCTAATTTTCTTCGTTTCCTTGTTGTACACTTAGCGTTATAGGGACGTATTAAAGCAACAATCACACATAGAGTGAATGAAGTATCCGATTGAATCTTATATTTCACATGGTTATAATATTACCAAAAAAGTCAGAATATGGGGTCTACCTTCCGAAAATTGATCCTATCCGTCCACTATTTGGACTGCATTTAGTATCCATGATTATTGAAACTTTACACGTACTAATATTTTTTCCAGACCTTGATCAAATTGAAAAAATTAAGACTATCAACCCTCTACATCGATTACTTTCCCATCAAAGGTTCAATATTTTGAAACCTTGTAAATCGCATATGAATTTAAATTTTGCCCATGGTAATATCTGGTACATCGCTCATTCTGGTACATCGCTTTAAAGGCTTAAAATATACCAGAATAAAAATAATATATATCAGATTATCCGATTTGATCCAAAAAAGCAAGCAAGTGGATCGCTCCAATCCATCTGGTACCCTCCCAACCAATGGTAACAATTTTAAAGAATTTGTTAATGTCATATGAATGCGTTTTCATCCAAACTTTGCACATCGTAACCTAAAGTATTTTTATTTTCTTCTGTTGTCTCCCCCAGATTTGAATTAATTTTTGTACTATTTTTAACCTTAAATGAGGTTTGGAGATGTACTTCAAATCTGTTCGATTCCGATATATGGACTCAGTCTTGGTGAAAACTACAAAATCAGGATAATATTGTACTGCATTGCTATAGACGACCGTCGATTGACACTTTCTGATAAATTTTATCATTCAGTTTGCAAGACCTTGAAATATTCTTGTCGATTTAGCCATGTCCGTTAGTGCGTTAAAATATTGACCCTTTTTGATATGTTCGCAATTTAACCGGAGACATGACTTCCATATGACTCCTCATTTTCGGTGATTTGATAGTGTTGGCTGCATATACCAACAGAATTGCATTTCAAGTCATCTGAAGCGACCGATAACGTAGAGTTTTTAGTATTTTCAAGATTTTAGTTGTATTTGCCAATCGAAGTGGTTGTATTATGGAAGTAGAATAATGAACCTTTTTACTCAATGTTTGGAAATAGTCTCCTTAGAAGAAAATCCGTCAAGTTTCGTATATTAGTGTCTGTAATTTTGTACTTAATTTTCTGAGCATAAACATTAGACCACCAGACAATTATGGCACGATTGTTTTTTTTTGTAAATTTTGAATTCTGACCAATCTAGGAATAAATAAAAGTAAAGTAAATTTTTGGAATAAAATACTTTACTTCTATTTATTCCTATTGTCAATTTCCGTTTATTCTCCAAAAATGGCAACACTATTTCTCCCCATGGCATCTCTCTGGAAAAATACTCTCTTTAGTATTTATATTGGAGACTTTAATTGCTCTCCCTTGAAGTGGAGCTCTTTGATGAAATTCACACTCTTATTGTCTCCTCCAGTAAGGTAAATAAGCGAAAGAGAAACATTAAAATGTTGTTTTTTTCTGATTTGTTGAAATATTTCACTACATACCCGTACATACATACTGTTTGTTGTTTACATATCACATTCTTGCTGTTGTTGCTGCTGCTGTTAACTGGAGACGACGACAAGTATCTGTGTACGGCCCCAAAGTTCAGCGGCGTGCACACACACGCTGAGCTTCAAATTGGAATGAATGGTTAAATAAATGGTTTACCGACCGACCGTTCGTTCGTTCGACGTCGGCTAGAAGTTTTGTTCGTCTGTAGTTGTTTTGTTCTTTTTGTTTGGACTCGGACTTTGTTGTGGTTTTGATTGTCCCAAAAATAAGAGTGGAGTCTCTGTCTTTCTTTTTTCACTTGATATCAATTGTTGTTGTTGTTGATGTTGATTTTGTCGACGGCGTTGTATTTACATGGACCATTGAAAAGACCGACCGAATGAACGAAAGAATGTATGAATGAATGAAATAATGGATGGATTGATCTGATGCATGAATGTATCTGACTGACTGAATGGTTGGGTTGGCTGGATGGATGGATGGCTGGCTGGACCGTTGGCATGTGTAGAAATGTTTTCTTGTAAAAACCAAACAAAAAACAGTTTTCAATGTGTGAATTGTTAATTAATGTTAATTTAATCAGAATGCACATATTCCAAAGGGTTTACTTTGAGTTCAAATAGGTGTTATTCTTTTTTTGTTTATGGAAAGTAGGAAAATGAAGATATTTTCATAATTTTTTAGTATTAATTCACTGATATTAAGTTTAGAAGTAAAAAAATGTGTATTAAAAAATGTTATTATAAATATATTATTTTACCAAATTTCGACCAAATTTTTAGCCCAAAATTTAAAATTATACCAAAATTGAAATTAGACCAAATTTAACATTTAGTTTTGGTCGACATTTAGGTTCAATGAAATGAAAGTGATCAAGTGATTAAAATTTTAACTTGGGGAAAAATTGACTAAAATTTAAAAATCTACAAAATTAAAATTTCGTCATAAAATGTAATCATACCTAATTTTCAATTAATACCAAAACATTGAAAAAAAAATTGGATCAAAAATGAAAATTACATTTTAACGAAAATTAAATTCCCGCCAAAATATTGAATACATTGTTTGACACAACATATATTTCCACCAAAATTTAAAACGTTTATAAAAATGTTTTTTTTTTAATTTTTACCAAATTTTTGTAATAAAATTTCATTGGTAAATTTTATTTAGAGAAAAATTTAAATTCCGCCAAAAATTTTATTTAAATATTGACCAAAATAAAAAACAAAATTTTTTAATTCCGACCAAAATTTTATTTTTAACCAATATAAAAAAAGGGTATTTCTATGCCAAAATAGAATTTTTAATATATTTTTTTCAAAAAAAAAAAAAATATATATATATATATATATATTTCTACTTTCTTATTGTCTCTCCAACTAGTCATGCATCCGTTCATTTCGTTTTGTTCCATTTCACAACGCTTCACAACTTCGTTACGACACTTGAGCCTACACTTTATATGTAGGTGTGGAAATCTAACTCAAAATTTCTTTTTGAAAAAATATTTATTTTCCTTTTATTACAAATACTGTACAACTTATATACCTAGTTTCGACGTTTTATGTATAATAATAGTAATAGTTTACGATTTATTCAAATGTCTATGTCTACGACTCTGTTTCTTTTCTTTTTTTGTGGTCAGTGAAATTCATCAGCGAATAAACCACAATTACAAATCTCAGATTACAAAAAAAAGTAACAAAAAGGGGTAAATAAAATAAAAAATAATTTTATATATAACATGTGAGTTTGTGTGATGATGTTGTTATTGTTTATGGCAAAATATCAAAGAAAGAAGAGAAAGAGAGAATTTCACAGTTATAAAATAAAAACAAAAGAGTATTCTTTCTATTATCAGTGCTTTCTATGTGTGTTGGGTTGGTGGATGGGTGGGCATTGTAATGTGATGATGAATTTTGTTTTGTTTGGTATTGCATACTTTAGGGGATTAAATTACAATTAAACTTATTTTCTAACACAAAAAGAAGAATGACTTATAAAAATGCTTTAGCGTTTTTTCTTTTGTTTCGTTTGCACATAGTACTTTGTAATTTTATATTATTATAATTAGATATTATTATTATTATAGTATATTTACACATTTATATAGAAATAGTTAAACAAAAAAAACTTGGTTTTACATTTACAAATGCTTTCATTACATTTTTTTCTTTGTTATAAACAAATAAAGGCAAAACATAGAAAGAGGGGAAGAAAAAAATAAAAAATGGGTTTGACATTTTATGCAAATTTGTTTTTAAATAAAAAATAAAATGAAAACAATAAAGATATATTATAACTTAAATTAAAATTGCTATTTAAATACAATATAATGGGGAGTTGGGATTTTTGGGTGGGTTTGGGAAGTGCGATAGTTTAAAATAATAGTCATGTTTTGTTTACAAACTAAATTTATGTTTTTTTTTTCAATTAAAGTTACAATTTAAATAGGACTTATATATTAGAAAAATTGGTTAAAATCACAAGCCTGTTTTTTGTTTTTAATTTCAAAAAAATAAAAATAAAAAATATATTTAAATAATTATGTTATAATAATAATTATGTATGTGTGTGTGTTTTAAACTAATTATAATGTATGCTTTGTGGCTGTTTGGTGGGGATATATTTATATGCAAAGTAAAGATATTGGAGGAGAGGATTCTATTTTGAAAAAAATGTTTTTTTATTTAAAAAAAACAAAATCTCAAAATAAAAAAAAAAAAATTGAACAAAATATCTATGTTGAAAAAAACTATATTGGTCATTTTAATTTCGATCAAATTTATATTTTTTGTAAAATCTTTATAAAAATGTCTACTTTGATCCAAAATTTAAATGTTGACACAATACAATTTGAACCAAAATGTATATCCGACCAAAATTTTAATTCCTATCAAAATTTTGATTCCGACCAAAAATTTAATTTTGACCAATTTATTTATCTTTTAATAAAATGATAAACTTTGACGGAAATTTAAATATTTATTTCGACCACAATTTTGATTCCGACCAAAATTTTGATTCCGACCAATTTGTTTAACTCTTTACAAAATGATCTACTTTGACGGAAATTAAAATATTTATTCCGACCAAAATTTTGATTCCGACCAAAATATTTATTCCGACCAAAATTTAAACTCCAACCAAAATATTAATTCCGACCACTATTTTAATTTGGACCAAAATTTTAATTCCGATCAAAATTTTAATTCCGACCAAAATGTTGATTCCGACTAAAATTTGGATTCCTACCAATTTGTTTAACTTTTTATAAAATGATCAACTTTGACGGAAATTAAAATATTTATTCAGACCAAAATTTTAATTCCGACCAAAATTTTAATTCCGACTAAAATTTTGATTTCGACCAATTTTTTTAATTTTTATTAACTTAGACGGGAATTAAAATATTTATTCCGACCACAATTTTAATTCCGAACAAATTGTTTAACTTTTTAAAAAATTATCAACTTTGACGGAAATTAAAATAATTATTGCGAAAAAATTTTAATTCCGATCAAAATTTTAATTAAGACCAATTTGTTTAACTTTTTATAAAATGATCAACTTTGACAGAAATTAAAATATTTATTCCTACCAAAATTTTGGTTCCCACAAAAATTTTGATTCCGACCAAAATTTTTATGTTGACCAATTTGTTTAACTTTTTAAACAATTATCATATACATATTTTAAAATTAAATTTTGAATTCCGACCAAAATTGTAATTTCGACTAAAAATTTAATTTTTTTTTATATTTTTTAATAAAATTCCTCCTAAAATATTCCCTTTGCAAAGAAATATCCCCACACAAAAAAAATGTGTTTCCACACAAATCACTTAATTATATGACTGGCCACCTCAGGAGAGAAGTTTTTCGGGCTACCTTACCCTTCTTGAGTCAGCGCACACAGCAAATTAACAGTCGACAATATAATTTACAATAAAAAAATAAAATAAAAACAACTGGCCACATCCTTTAGGAATCCGCATACTGTATAACATCATCGATTTGAACCGTTTCATTACTGCCACCCGAATGATTTGAACCCGCATCATTGGGTAATGCTGCAGCACCACGCATATCCAGTTCAATATCTTCTCCGCGTTGCTGTCCCGCTGCAATAGATGATGTGGGATTTTTCGATAACAATTTATGTTGAATATTGGGCGCGGTATATTGGGGTGGGGCTACTAAATGCATATTTCTTGGTGTGGCATTGGGAATGAAATTTTGCTGTAAATTTTGAGCCAAACGTCGTACATTCGATTGGGTTGAGGTTGAGGAAGTGTTGGAGGGTGTGGGCGAAGTGGGTCCCACACTGGGTCTTTGTGACAAAACATCTGGCAGTTGTCGTTGTTGATGACTGTATGGTGTGGACCTGGCATATGGCCGATAGGGACTTTGATAGGTACTATCAGCCACCATAGCGTTGGGTCGATGGTTAAGGGGTTGGGCTACAGCATAGGGTGAGGTGGTGGTGGTGGCGGATGTGGTTAGATTCGAGTCTGAAATGGAACACAAAACAAGATTATTAATATTTGGTTTGATGGGATATTAACAAAATTTGTGGATAGGGATTTTTAGCAATTATGGGGATTTTTTGTGGTTAGGGATTAGGGTAAAAAAATTAGTAGGGAAAATGGGATTTCATTAGTTGGGGGATTCGGGTAAACATTGTAGAACTGATAAGAGAGGATTACAAAAATGGGGAGTTAAGTGTAATTTAGTGTAAAATATGGCGTATTCGATATTTCCCCTTTGGAAAAAAAGTTAATGGGATTTTTAAAAAGAAAAAAAAGAGGAAATGTAATAAAATTTGAAATCAAATAATTTGGGAAAAGTGGGGAAAATGAGGGGATTTTTTTAAAAATGATAGGTAAAAAATAGGCAATTAAATAAGGCATAACAATATTTAAGACCAAAATAATATTGAAACCATGGATTGGCACATAAAAACTGTAAAAATATCAAAAAGTAGAGAAATGTGGGGATTTTTAAAAGTACGGGATTGGTAAAAAGTAGTCAATATAATAATGTATAACAATGTTTAGTACTCAAATAATATTGAAACCATGGATTTGTGCTCATAAAAATGGTAAAAAATTCTAGTTTTACCTTAAAATATGACAAAGAGCCCTAAAAAGGGTTTTGGAATAATTGGGGAAAATGAGGGGATTTTTAAAAATTCCATTGGAACTCAATATTTCCCCCATGAAATTCCATTGCAAATCGTTTTAATGTAATCTAAATAATATTTTTGTACGTTTGTCGTACAAATTAAAGATAAAAAATGACTATTTGGGATAACCGGGGAAAATGAGGGGATTTTTACAAAGTACATTGTGGAAGGTGTGAAATGCCAAATTTAAATATTTTTAGCAATATTAAGAAATTTATAGTATTAAAAACATTATTTTACCCTTGGAAATGCTAAAAAGTGAAAAACTGGGGAAAATGAGGGGATTTTTATAAAATGTACTGGATCGGTAAAATATAGTAAATTTAATAATGTATAACAATATTTAGTACCAAAATAATATTGAAACCATGGATTTGTTCATAAAAGTGTTAAAAATTTCTTAAATTTACCTTAAAAATATGACAAATGGCCCTAAATAGGGTTTTGGGATAATTGGGGAAAATGAGGGGATTTTTATAAAGTATATTTTAGAACTTGTAAAATGGTAAATTTACATATTTTTAGCAATATTTAGCAATATTTAAAAAGGCTAAAGGCAATATTTAAAAAGGCTAAAAAATGAAAAACTGGGGAAAATGCGGGGATTTCTAAAAAGGCTTGTGGGAATTAATTAAATGACAAAAACAAATAAATGACTACAAATTTCATGGCCATGAGAATAATTAAAATGATGAGCAACAAAACTGATAATAATTTTTAAAGTTAGAATACTAACTTTTTTCATAATGACAGAAATAGTGGGGTAATAAGGGAATTTTAAAACAAATCATATGGGAAGGAACCCGGATTGAAATATTTTATATTTGAATTTGCCAATGAAAAACATTTAATAAAAAATATATTTATTTTTCCAATTTGACGTTTTTAGGACCTCGCTGATACTTCAAATAATTTTTTCGAATCTACATTATAAAGGTACACCATGCACTCCAACGCGGTATGCTGCTGTAAAATTCAATTCAGACGAATTCAACTTAGTCACACCTGCATTTTTGGAAAATAGTTCCATCATGAAGTTGCTAGTGACTCATTCAAATTCTCAAAATATTATTTTACAGAAGAATATACCGTTTAATATCAAATCAACAAATTTCTATTACTCTAAAATGGCTGTGAGACACGGAAATTTTTATAGAAAAAAATTTGATTTATATTCGGCAATTTTTGGCACCTTAAATCTTAAGTGAGAAGTTGAAGGCAACCCTTTACCTCTCTCACAAAGTAAATGAGAATTATCGTAAATCAAATTGCCTAATGTAAATCAGTACAAACTGAGTTTGTATGTGCAGAGAGAGAGAGGATTTATTTCCTCATTCCTCTCCCTCCAGTCCAAGTTCAGCTTTCTTCATTAAAACTTTCCCCTTGGCTCACAACCAATTAACTACAATACATCTACAACTATAAACTACAATGACACTTTTGTTTTCATGAAAAGCTCATGATCAAAGCTACAACGAATGCTTTCTTATGTGAAAAAAGCTCCATGATCTATTATGATGACTTTTAAAAAAACTTACTTCTCCTAATAATGTTTGATTACATTTTTCATAGGTGTATCTACCAATTTTTTTTTTGGGGGGATTGGATGAGGATTTTGGTGTTTTGGGATAGGGGATGTGTGTGTGTCGGTGCCCTTCAAACTGGTGTTGCATAACTTCCTCTTAGTGTTCTTGCTGTAGTTCCTGTCGTTATTGGTCTAAATGTATTACCTCTTTCATTAATGGGTTCCGTATAGACATCCATTGATTCCAAGTGGCCATCGGCAGGTGAGGCATATTCATTCGGCAGCAATGGTTGTTGGGCACAACTAGGCTCAGCATAAATATGTTCCGGTCCTGTTGCACCACCACCACTATTTCCCATCATAGGATTTCCTTGCATATTATCGAAGGTATTGGCAGCATAGAAATCACCCTCCGTTAAACCTGGTTCCGAATAAATTGGTGTTTGATCGGCGGGTGGTGCTGAGGGCAGTGGTGATTGTAAATGTTCCGTCAACACACGATTCATTGCCATAAAATCAATACCCGGATTTTGTACCTTATTCAAGAGATTTACAATTTGACTTGTGGTCTTGACACATTTCGCCTCCGATAAATCGGCAATAAACATGATTTGTATTTTTTCATGGATTTTCTTGTAAATTTCGGGATATTTCTTTTGGATCAACTGCAGGGTCTGATTGATAATTAAACGATCATCTTGAGAGAATTCATGGACATGACTGCGCCCCTGATTTGTACCACCACTGCTGCTTCGTGGCATTTTCAGGGTACGCTTGCGGCAGCGACAAATCATGATAATAATTAAGCTGAAAATTATTATCACAATGGCCACGGCACAGGCCAGAATGATGATCAATTCCGGTAGGCGATTATTTTTCGCCGCCAATTCTTCGGCCGTAAAGAAACGCCCTTCGATTTTCCGCAAATTCTTTTTATTCTTACAATCCAAAATGGTCTTCGTGTCATCGCACACCTCACTGTAGTACTGCAAGAAGTTCAGCATTGTGGCATTAAAACAATTGCCCAGCTTGTCATCGATGGTACAAAAGACCTGCGATTTTAAGTCATGATCCGACAAACGTTCCAACCAATGGAAATCACAGCGACAGGGTTTATTCAATGAAATATCATAGACCATACAATGAGGATCTGTGAAGTTGAGGCTGCCATCCTGAGGACTTGTCAACGAATTTTCACCGAAGGTACAATTCTCACGATTGCGGCTCTTTTCCAACAACATATGGCCGAAAATGCCAAATTGATTTCTCTCCACCCTAATACGTGTCCAGTCTTTGACATGTAACCATTTGCTACCCAGGTGTTTGATGTGATTATCGGTTATGGTCACGTAGATCGATGTCACGTAAATTGCATTTTCGTAAATGGTATCGATTCTGAAAAAAAATTACAAAATAAAGTGGTAATTAAATATTGTTATTAGTTGAGCTTATGGGTTTTTGTTGTTGTTTTTGTTATGCTTACTTGTTGTTGCTAATTTTTAATTCTTTAATACCACTGCCATAAATTGCATCACTTTCGATAATACCAATTGTGGCTCCGGTTATCGATACATGTTCACTATAGAGCTGGAAAGAGAGAGGGGGGGATATAAAAATTATGTTATCAAGAGAAAAAAATTTTAAGGCCCTTACAAAAAATCCTTTACAATTTTCTTCTGAAAGAGGGATATCCTTTTCGAGGAAAAAAAGGCTTCCACTTTTGAGAATTTTTTTTAGAATAAAATTGGTCCTTAGGTTCTGAGGATTTCTTTTCTATAGAAAAAAGGTCCCCAGGTTCTAAGGATTTTTTCTATAGAAAAAAGTCCTCAGGTTCTGAGGATTTTTTTTATAGAAAAAAAGGTCCTCAGGTTCTGAGGATTTTTTTCCATAGGAAAAAAGGTTCTTAGGTTCTGTGGATTTTTTTCTATAGAAAAAAAATGTCCTCAGGTTCTGAGGATTATATAAGAAAAAAAAATTATCCTTTTTTTGAGGATATTTTCTTCAGGAAAAAATTATTTCGAGGTTTTGAGAATTTTTTCTATAGGAAAACAACAATTGTCCTCAGCTTCTGCACATTTTATAACGAAAATGTTCCTCTAAAATTTTATAGTTTATTTATAAAAATGTCTTCCCTCATTTCTTGTTCTTCTTACCTTTTCTGTTATGGCTCTCGATTTAATGGCATCAATGCGACACGATTCAAATATTATCGAATGGATATTATTCACATCAAATGCCCCGGGATTAATGGTGCCAATGGTACATTTCACGAACTTAATTTCACGTATCGAGGCATCAAAACGATAAATGTTATCGATATTGGAAGATTCGATGTGTAACTACAATAAAAATATAAAAATTAATTAAAATATAGAGAAAAAATTACAAAATAAAAACTTACCTTAGCCTGGGCAGAATTGAAAGCCTTTTCCGATATCCTTAGATCCTTTATGCCCACAAACGAGCCGCGGATTTGGGTATTTTCAAATGCATTTTCAAATAACAAGACATCATTGCTATTTGTGACATTTAATTTGCAGCTTTCTGGAAATTGAAAAAAATAATATTTAAAATTTAATAAAAATTAAGAAAAAAATCTCTCCCTTTTCACTTACCCGATGCCTTCTGGCGAAATGCCCGCTCCAATATAATTATGGCAAATACATTGCTAAATATTATTTCCGGGAATGGTCCATTATTGCCACGAAATGCATCAGTGCCGATTTCCACCTTCTCATGCTCCTCCATATTGCCCTCGATTATGAAACGATTAATGGTGTCATTGTGAAAGAATCCCTCACGTAGGCGGAATGAGGTCCGTGGTCCCAATTTGACAATTAAGATTTTTGCCAATTCGGGCATTTTAAATGATTTATCGAATGTAGAGCTTAACTGGAAAGAGAAAAAGAATTAATTTTACATTCCAAGGTAAACAAATTGAGAAGAAGAAGAAATAAATATATATTTCCTGAAAGTGTGTGTTCATAAAATATATAAAACAAAAAACATTTCAAAACAATTTATTTATTTCCCTCATTGGAGATAATTTATCAATCACTGTCTATCAATCGATCCGACCATTCAGTCGTTCAGACATTTTGTGTTGTGAAAATAAAACACAGCCGACAATTTCATGTCGGAAAAGCCATAGATTTTAATTTGAATGTTTCAATAACAAAACAAATTGAAATAATATAAAGTATTTGGATGCTTTTTTTATAACAGATATTTAAAAAAATATTTTAATTTTGAGGTGAAATTTTGAAATTTATTATGAAAATATATTAAAGGTTGTGATAGTGATAAATAACAGATGTCAAGATCGAGTGAAATATTAGTTAACAAAAATTCCTAAAAAAATATATTTTTTTTTATAAAAAGAGAATAAATTTTTTGTTTAAATTGATAAATCTTATATAAAAAAATTGAGCTTCAATTCAATTACAATATGGAAAAAAATCAATTAGAAATTTTAACCTATTTGAAGTTTAGTAGGGTAATCTATATTATATGTCCTCTTAAAACAATTTTTTTCCACACAACAAAAATCGCAAGATTTCAATTTTTACATACAAAAAATATTTTTTTAATTTTTTTCAGTAGCATTTTTTTAATTCCATATATTTTTTGTTCTATACAAATTTTAATATTTTTCTAAAGAAAAAAATCGCAAGATTTCAATTTTTTATAAAAAAAAATTTTTTTATTTTTTTCAGTAGCATTTTTTTTAATTTTTTTCAAATTTCAATTATTTTTTGTTAAATTCAATTTTTATAGTAGATTAGGGCACATTATACCCAATATTGCCTGCCGTTTTTCAACAACAAAAATAGCCAAATTTTTTATATTCCATGACATATTCTAAAATAAAAAAATAACAACAACAGCACCATTTTTTAAACATTAAAATTTCGTATTTTTATTTATTTTGTAATATAAAGCATTTCCGTAAAAAAAATAAATATGTTTTGGGTTGTGGCCAAGAAAAAATGCTGCTGTTTTTTATTAACGGTCTAACATCGTTACAAGACATTGTTTTTGTACCGAGCACCAGAGCTACCACATTTTGCCATATATGAGTTTCTAATTCTTGAGGATTAAGAAAGAATGCAATAAATTTGAAAATAAAAAAGGGTAATAAAAAAGAGGAAAAAGGAAATAGAAAAATAGAAGAAATAAATAAAAAATAGTCAAGAAGAAATTAAAATTTGGGATTTTATGAATTTAATTAAGAAATAATGTGTGAAAAATATTTGCCTCATATTTTAAATGAAATTGAATGGCGAACAACTAAAATTTACCTATATATCTCAACATAATCGAAATCTTAATATAGGTTAGGTTAGGTTTGGGGATGTGGCTGCAGCACTCTGATACCATTCGGTCTATTGTGATCATCTATATGTTAACGATATATTTTTGTGCCATTTTGGGGATATAAAAGAGAAAAAAATACCACATTATGTTGGGCGCCACATTTACAAAAACTAAATAATTTAGATTAGAAATATATTCTAAATCAAAAAAATCAATCAAATCAAATCAAATCAAAAAAATTTGAAAATATGGTATACAGTATGATTATATCGCAGCCAATTAGGCTATATATACATGTTATGCTATTTTGAGTAGTTTCCAAATTCTGGCAAAATTTCCCACTTTACTTTATTTTAGAAAAATTGTGTTAATGAAAAAATATTCTGTGTTAAATTTCACTAAGGATCATCTCAAAATCGAAATCTAAAAAAATATTTTATATATATATCATAGAAATATCAAATCGAATATGCCTATATAAATAATTAAATTTATTAATTTAATTTTTAGTGGAAACTTTTTAAGGTTTTCAAATTACGTCAAAATTTTCCGAATAATAATTTAATTTACAGAGTAGGTGTCAATGGAAAAAATAATCTGCATTAAATTTCATTATGGCTTACATCACAAGCTGAATTTATATATGTAATAAATTTCATTAAATATCGGTTGCAATTTCGTTATATAAATAATAAATTCATTTTAGGAACATTTTTGGTAGTTTTTACAAACTTTACCAATATTTCCCACAATAATGTGTCAATGGAGACAATATACTGCATTAAATTTCACTATGAGTCACCACACAGACAAAATCTGTATATATAATAAATATCATAAAAATATCGGCTCCAATTTGACTATATAAACAATAAAATTTTAAATTAAATTTTTAGTGGACATTTTTGGTACTTATCAAATTGTGTCAATAATTCTAAAAAAATTGATTTTTTAGAGTTGCTGCCAATGGAAAAAATATTTTGCATTAAATTTCACTATAGGTCACCTCACAAAGAAAATCTATACGTATTATATTTACCATAAAAATATCGGATCGAAGTTGGCTATATAAAAAAAATGTATTAAATTGTACAATTTTGTCACATTTGATTTTTTGTGAAATTTATCCATCTAATTCTTTGTTTTAGGGGTATAGTTTCAATGCAAAAAATATTCTACATTAAATTTCACTATAGGTTACCAAATAAAAGAAATCTGTAGATATAATAAATATCATGAAAATATCGGATCAAAATTGGCATAAAAACAAGAAAATTTTATCTCCACCTTCTGAAGCTAATTTAGATGCCTTCCAATTATGTGTCAATATAATCCATTATATTTGATTTTAGGCACATAGTTTCAGTGGGGAAAATATTTGAAATCAAATTTCACTATAGGTCACTGAACACCAGAAATCAGTAGGTTTTGTATATACCATGAAAATATCGTCTACAATTTGGGTATAACATGAAAAAATAGGTATTCCCCTTTTCAGTGCTATTTTTTGGTCGCATTCAATTATGTGCTAAAATATCCCACAAATATTTATTTCAAGGGAAGGGTGTCAACAGGAAAAATAATCTACACTAAATTTCACTATAGGCAGCAAAACAAAAGAAAGATGTAGATATTATATATATCATGGAAATATCGGATCAAAATTAGTGTATAAAAATGAAAATGTTATCTCCACCTTTTTGAAGCCAATTTAGATATCTTCTAATTATGTGTCAATATACCCCTTATATTTGATTTTAGGGACATAGTTTCAATGGAGAAAATATTCTAAATCAAATTTCACTAAAGGTCACTGAACACCAGAAATCTGTAGCTTTTGTATATACGAAGAAAATATTGACTACAATGTGGGTATAAGATGAAAAAATGTATTCTCTTTTTCAGTGCAATTTTTTGGTCTCATTCAATTATGTGCTAAAATATCACACAAATATTTATTTCAGGGTAAAGGTGTCAATGGGAAATATATTCTACACTAATTTTCACTATAGGTCACCAAACAAAAGAAATTCGTATATATAATAAATATCATGGAAATATCGGATCAAAATTGGCGTATACACAAGAACACGTTGGTAAATATAACATTTTGAGCGGAAAAACTGTTGCAATTTGGCATTTTGTATTAAATAAAATTAAATTATTTAAAAAAAATCGTAGCAAACTCTTTATTTCCACTCACTTCCTCCCCACAAAATTAAATTATTTTATTATACCTTATCACTGCAATATCTCTTTTGAATCTCGAACAAGTTCGTCATTTGCCACACAAAACCATTTCCTCTTAAATTGCAAAATATATTGTAGAGATTTCCAAGAAAAAAGCTAAAACATTTTTTTTGCATTTTATTATAAAAAATATAAATAAAATGCCAGTAAATAATTCTTCTTGTTGTTGTAGAAGAAAAATGAATGCACTAGCAATACAACAACAATATAAGAGGTAAATTGTATTGAGTACAGCGAAAAAAAGTTTTGACGTTGACTTTCCCATTGAAATTCACTGAACAATGTGACTGTCTGTCCAGTCAGTCATTGCTTTTGTAATTCTATTGTAGATTGTCATCCTTTGTTTTCCTGTATGAACGAATGAATGACTATTCTATTAGGCATAGGTTGAGTATTCTATTGGGCATAGATATGCGTGGGAGTTTTGATTTAGATAGACAAAAAATGTCAATAGTCGTCTGTACATAAAATTCCGTTTAAAAATCAATATCGACAGTTTTTATTTTTAATGAAATTAATAATTATATTTTTAATATAAAATATGCTTATATAGGGGATTTAATATTTTTTTAATTTTGTTTAGGAAAAAATAACGACATTTTATGAGGAAGATTTTTCCACTCTCCTTCTCCCATCTCCCCTTTAAATTATTTTTTTTTTTTAGAAAATATGATATTTTTATAAATTATTACTATTAAAAAAGTAATAAAAGCCATTACATATAGTTTATTTTTAGTAGAGATATAAAAAACAAGTTAAACTTCTGATGTTGTTGTTGTAAAACTTTGGCAATCAATTAATAAAAAATAACAACAACAACAAAATATGCGTGGGTATACATTTTTGCGTTATTGTGAATTTTTGTGTTCCGCCTTGCCATTGCATGGACTCTGACCCCTGAGATGACATTTTGTCATTTTCTTATTAAAGTTCTCGAGTTTGCACCTCCTCCTCCCCGCATCGATAACATTGCATCTTCATAGCCCGGGAAGCAATAAAACTTAAAAAAAATACGAAACTAAAATGACAAAATAAAACTAATTGAATTGATCCACTCGATGGTTGTAAAACAACAGTTGGGTTATTTATTTTTCATCCACCGAACATTATTGCACGAGAAGTGTATGGAGGTGGTGGAGAGATATGGTGGCTGCGTGGCAGGCTGCTGCCATTCACATTGTGATTGGCGGGCACACACCGAGCATAATCACTGGTGTCGGCCACCACTATGCAGGCACGTTTAGCGTTGTAAGTGAAAAGATCATTGGAACTGTCAAATGTTGATGTATGAAGTCATTTCGAAGCTTTTTTTCCACGGGTCCCTC